GAGACCGGTCTTAGTCATTCCTTTACCGGATGGCGACCGTTGCATGGATCTTCGAACCGGCCCCTCAGTGCCTTCGTCCCCATATCACGACCGCCCCCCTCAGCCTCGACGTGATTATTTATCTCGAGACCGGTCTTAGTCAGTCCTTAACCGGATGACGACCGTTGCATGGATTTTTGGACCGGCCCCTCATCGTCGTCGTCCTCACAGCACGCCCGTCTCCTTGGCCTCAGCGTGATTATCTATCTTAAGACCGGCTTCCTCAGCGCCGAGAGTCTTGAGCTAGCGATCGGGCTCGCCATCCCTTCCTGCCTTTCCTGGATGGTGACCATCGCCCCTATATGACGATCGACTCCATCATTGCCCTGTCATCATATTTCGGATTGGCTCCTTCTCATCGCCATCCACACATCACGACCGGCCCATCGGCCTCGGAGTGTTTATCTATCTCAAGACCGGCTTCCTCAGCGCCGAGAGTCTTGAGCTAGCGATCGGGCTCACCATCCCTTCCTGGAAGGTGACCGTCGCCTTTATACGACGATTGGCCCATCAGGGTCTCGTCATTATTTATTGGAACGGATCATCATCGCCGTCATCCTCACATCGCGGCAGACCCCTCGGTCTCAACGCGATCTTGAGCTAGCGATTGGGCTCGCCATCCCTTCCTGGATGGTGACCATCGCCTCTATATGACGGTCGGCTCATCATTGCCCCATCATCATATTTCGGATTGGCTTCTTTCATCGCCATCCGCGCATCATGACCGGCCCCTCGGCCTCGGCGTGACAATCTATCTCAAGACCGGCTTCCTCAGTGCCGAGAGTCTTGAGCTAGCAATCGGGCTCGCCATCCCTTCCTGGATGGTGACCATCACCCTTATATGACGATCGGCTTCATTCTTGCCTCATCATCATATTATCGGACCGGCTCATCATCTCCGTCCGCACATCATGACCGGCCCCTCGGCCTCGACGTGATTATCTATCCCCAAGACCGGTCTCAGTCATTCCTTCATCGGATGCCGACCATTGCTTGGACTTTTGGATCAGCCTCATAGTGCTGACGACCTCGCATCACGACCGGCCCCTCGGCCACGACGTGACGCCCTATCCCAACACCGGCTTCATCAGCGCCGAGTGTGTTCGGCTAGCGATCAGACTCGCCATCCCTTCCTGGATGGTGACTATCGCCTCTATATGACGATCGGCTCCATCATCGCCTCGTCATCAAATTTCGGACTGGCTCCTCATCATTGCCATCCGCACATCGCGATCAGCCTCTCGGCCTCGACGTGATTATTTATCTCAAGACCGGCTCCCAGCGCCGAAGTCTTGTTATAGCGATTGGGCTCGCCATCCCTTCCCGGACGGCGACCGTCGCCCCTATATGACGCATGGCTTATCATCGCCTCGTCCTCAAATTTAGACCAGCCCCAGCACTGAAGTCCTTGTCTAGCGACCAGGCTCGTCATTCCCTTCCTGGATGGTGACCGTCGCCTTCATATGACGCACAACTTATCATCACCTCGTCCTCATATTCGGACCGGCTCACCAGCGCCACCGTCCTCATATTCGGACCGGCTTGTCAGCGTTGTCGTCCTCATATTCAGACCGACTCATCAGAGTTGTCGTCCTCATATTCAGACAGGCGTACACCGCCTCGTCCCCCTATTCAGATATAGCGAACATCTTGCGGTCTCCGGCTAAAAAGCTAAAGGAGCCCAGAGTTCAACCAACGACCATTGGACATATCTCGCTCTATCATCTTTATTTGATGACGAAGAGCTGATCTACAGGCCCATCGGCCATATATCGCTCTGTCATCTTTATTTGATGATGAAGAGCTCATCTATAGGCCCATCGGCCATATATCGCTTTGTCATCTTTATTTGATTACGAAGAGCTCATCTACAGGCCCATCGACCATATATCGCTTCGTCATCTTTATTTGATGACGCGAAGCTCATTTACAGGCCCATCGACCATATCTTGCTCTGTCATCTTTATTTGATGACGTAGAGCTCATCTACAGGCCCATCGGCCATATGTCGTTCTGTCATCTTTATTTGATGACGTAGAACTCATTTGTATGCCTCTGAGCCATATCTCGCTCCGTCATCTTTATTTGATGACGTGGAGCTCTCATCCGGGCACCTCGGCCATGCATCGCCCCGTCATCTTTATTTGATGACGTGGAGCTCATCATACCGGCCACTTAGCCGCCTCTTCAGGTCGTCTTTATTTGATGGCTTGGACTTCTTATAGGCCTCTCGCCCACACGCCACGGTCACTTTATTTGATGACCCGGACATCACATTATGGACGGTCACTCGACCTATCTCCTAGTCATCTTTATTTGATGACTAGGACTACTTATCATGCCGAGCTACTCACATCTAGGGACTGGTCTCGGCCATCCCCTCAGCAGACGTACACCGTTGCAGCTCCACACCTAGGCCGAAGGGCTCACCCCTTTTGCTTCATTTTTGGGGCATCCGGTGTACTCTTTTTCCCTCATTAGGATTTTTTCCTAGGGTATTTTCCTAATGAGGTTTTTAACGAGGCATCTCCCCATTGTGGATCAAAAGGCGTCGACCCTCGGCCCCCTATTGAAGACATCATGTGACACACACTACTCTACTCCTCTTCACCTCACTACATTCACCTCAAGGAGTGAGGGACTGGAAGAGCAGGGGACTTAGCGCCTCCATTAGCCAAAGAAGCGGAAATTCAAAATTTTTCACGAAGTTTACTCATCAGACGATAGATCAGCACACAGTTCTACTCCCTTTCGCCTCGAGTACTCTCGACTCAGGGAGTGGGGGACTCCTGATGGCGTATATAGACTCGGACCCCCGGGTCTCACGACTATTGGGCCCGGACAGCGGCCCACGTACACTCAGCTGATAGCATTTTCATTATTTTACATTATTATTATTATTATTCAGGTGTTCTAGATGAGCCTTTTATATTATCAGTCCATTTATGTAACCGGGTCTGTCAAGCCCATATTAGAGGCCCAGACCCGGATATTCTTCTATATATACTCCCTTAGTGAGTTCTTGTAAACCTAATTCACAACTCATTCATACATTACTATTCATTCATCTTCTTCCTCACATTAGCTCAAATCTCTCCATTTTATTATAGTTTGGATACCCCTATAATCCATCAACCGGTCTTAGCCATTCCTTTACCGAATGGCGACCGTTGCATGGGTTTCGGACCGGCCCCTCAGTGTCGGCGTCCTCATATCTCAAGACCGGCCCCCAACGCCGAGGCACTACTATAGCGATCGGGCTCGCTAATCCCCTCCTGGTTAGCGACTGTCGCCCTCAGTTGACGCATGGCTCATTAGCAATGTCGTCCTCTTGCTCAGACAGACGTCCATCGACTCGTCCTCAGGTTCGGACCGGCCCATCAGCACCGTCGTCCGCACCAGCAGATGGACGTCCCCTCAGTAGATGGACACCGCTGCAACTCCACACCCAGGCCAAAGGGCTCACCTCTTGGAGTTCATTTGGGGGTATCAGGTGTGCTCTTTTCCCCCATTAGGATTTTTTCCTACAAGGTTTTTTCCTAATGAGGTTTTTAACGAGGCATCTCCCCATTGTGGATAAAAAGGTGTCACCTTCGGCCCCTGTTGAAGACATGCATTACTCTACTCCTTTTCATCTGATTACATGTGCCTCAAGGAGTGGGGGACTGGGGGGGCTGTATCGGCCTCCACATACATGGGAACACCCCAGAAATGCACAAGTCCAAAAATATGAACACAATCCAACGTCAATGGTATCTCAACGTCCACAGTCATGTGGTCATCCTTCAGCCAAGTCGAAGCACAAAGCAGGACACACATAATCCTCAAAATCAAAGACACATATCGTCCTCGAAGCCAAGGACACCCTTCGTCCTCAAGGCCAATGACACGCATCGTCTTCAAAGCATGACTTTCCTCGTCCGCAAAACCAAGGGCGCACAACGTCCTCTGGTCTAGGACCCCGATCGCCCTCAAAGCCAATGACGGCCAAAGAGAGGTCATATCACCTTCGCGGCTGAAACCGCGCATTGTCCTCAAAATGAAGGGCATTCATCGTCCTCAAAATGAAGGACACTCACTGTCCTCGAAATGAAGGGCATTCATCACCCTCAAAATGAAGGACATTCATCGTCCTTGAAATGAAGGACATTCATCGTCCTCGAAATGAAGGACATTCATCGTCCTCGAAATGAAGGACAAGGCAGCCAACAATTATGGCCAGGAACACTATAACTCCTAGGTAATCCTCTGTCGCCCAAAGCGTCAGAACAACAAGGATCTACTCCGTTTCACTTCGTCTACATCTCAGCTTAGAGAGTGGGGGACTCCTGATGGAGTATATGGGTCCAGACCTCATGACCCACATACTCAGAAGACAAAGAGGAGCACAACTGTCATCCAGTGCCCCCCCTTCAGCCAGATGGTACCCCATCAGTCAAAGAAGAGTCAATCCAGAATACGCTCCAGAAGCCAAGGAGAAGACTTGTCCTCCCTTTGTCGTGCCTCCCTCGGCCGTGCCTTCCTCGGCCAGAAGTAACTCGCGGAACTAGATTTCTCATGTAATCAGTCCAATAGAGGCCTTATATTGTAATGGGCCTCCCAAGCCCAAGGCTCGGGAGTCCATCCAACTTTTTCCTATAAATACTCTCCTTACGATTAAGCCATTACTCTGATGAGGCCACCTGAGATATTTGGGCCTAGCCTAATATCCCCAACACTTCTTACCCAATTATCCCTCATATATGTCCTTTATCATTTACCTCTCTAGGGTGATAACTTTCCTTCATACAATTCCGAATATAGATGCGAAAAAGAATACTTCTTTCATTTAGTTACACTTTGTTATTTTACTATTATTATGAATCGTTTTTATTTAATTTGGATATCAATTTGTGAAATTTAATATTTTCACAGAAATATTAACTATAACTAAAAAGGTGAAAATACATGTACCCTAGCTCACTCTCCCAATTTTTTTTGTTTGTGATCTCTTTCTTCCCCCTCACTGCCTTCGCGCATCACTTCTCCTCTTCCCTCATAAAAAACGACGACCCCTGTAATCCTCGTCCCTCCTCTTTTTGATACTCAGAAGGCTAACAGAAGAGCTCCTTAAGATCTACTCGGCTTCAATCTGCACTCACTATCTCCCACCGCCATTCCATGTCAGATTCGTCTGCTTAACCGTCCAAGCCTTGATTATCTTGTGTACAGGTCTAACTCATAGAAATTAAAAGTAAAATGCTATTTACTTTCATCAATTACCTCTTTTCCACCATTTTCTTCGTTAATAATTGCGGATTGACGCTTCAACTTATGGTGTACAGCTTTTTGCTGCCTGAAAGGATTATGCAACTTAAGACTTGAGAGGTAATTTTCTCTTGTTTTTCGTGTTTTTGTATTTCCGAAATAAAATTAGGTGAGGGATTTCTGATGTTATTTCATCACATATAACTTGAGAGCCTGATCCAATTTTTCATTTCAATTTTTTCATGATTCGACTAATATAAGGGCTGCAGGTGTAGACTAATCCGATTTTGATTTGTAAGAAGATTCGAATGATATATGGTGATACGTGGGTTTTAAAAAAACTGAATCCTGGATTGTTTTGTTTTTTTTTTTGTTTCTGATCTTTATTATTATGAATTTAACAGCTTACTGAACAAAATATAATTTAGGGTTTTGAATGCAATTGTAGTGAACTTTTGACTGATTTAAGGATTTCACTCCGCATTTATCTCCAGAACAAACATAACTTTTTTTTTATTTATTTTTGGAAATTTATACTCCTTATTTATTTATTGAAAATTTGAAAATTATTCATATAAGGGTGTTTGTGTTGTTTAGAGTATTTGGTTAGAAGTTTTTGTTCTTTTCTTTTGTTTGATAAGACTATCCACTTTGCTTTGCTTTCACAAATTTTGGATGACTAAAAAATTTGTGTTACAAACCTCGATTAACCCTTTTTATCATGGTAGTTTGTTCCTTGAATTATTTCACACATACATATGCATTATACACTATTTATGTATATCAGTATATGTACACAGATACATATATATGCGTTATTTGTACATACTTTAATTGTAAATTGTTAATAATTTATCTGTATATATACATTCCATAAACTAAAGCAATATGTGGAACAGAAAATCAGTGGAATTGGTAACCTGATACAATAGTTGTTATGCTATTATTATATTTTGCAATTTTACATCAACAGTCTTGAGGCTTTCCAGAGAAAACACAGATATTTTTTTCTTGACGAAGGATGTACACTTCCACACATGCACAATTTGTAAATTTCATTTTTTTTAAATTCAAGCCTTCTTCGGTGGTGCTCAATCGGCAAAATCTTGCTACTGTTAATAGGGAAGGTGATGGTGTGTTTGTGACTTGTGCCTTTGCATTTAAATCATTGCATAGCACATGGCTCAAGAAGGAGCTGTTTCATATAATACAGAACAGCACTTTTTTTATTTTACATTACTATTCATATTTTGTGGAAATAATTCACTACGACAAGACATATATATTGCTTTGGAGCACTTTAGGTGGGAACGCTATAACAAATTTCTTTTTCTTTTACATATTAGGTGGGAGCCTTATGTTGTTTTCTTCATTTCAAGTGTAGGTTTCATACAGATAATAAAACAAAATCAGTATCTAAATTGGTTTCCAGGAAAAAATGTTGTACACATTCATGCCTTTTTCCCCAAAACCAGGGACATTAGCTGGAAAACGTGGAAAATTTCATTTATCTTAAGTATTATAGTTTTCTTTTATGTTGTTTACTTTGCGCGGGGAGTGTGTCAAGTGGTTATCCTCTGAATTTGGAAGTTGATGAACAAAAGGACATCTGCTTATTTAAATTGCCAAATTTATTGCTAGATTAAAGTACATTTTGGTTCATCCAAATATCCAATGGAGTGTTGGGAGCAGAAGTAATTCAGAAGAACTTTCAGAAAAAACATTTGGTGATTATGGAGTGTAACAGAGATGAGGCTCAAAGGGCCAGATCAATTGCTGAGGCAAAGTTAGAGCAGAGAGATTTCGTCGGTGCAAAAAAGTTTGTCTTCAAAGCACAAGCGTTGTATCCAGGGCTAGAAGGACTTCCCCAGTTGTTAACAATTCTTGATGTGTATATTTCTGCAGAAAATAAGATAAGTGGAGAAACTGATTGGTATGGAGTGCTGGGGGTGAGCCCCACCGCAGATGATGAAACTGTTAGGAAACAATATAGGAAATTGGCTCTTATACTTCACCCCGATAAAAACAAATTTCCTGGTGCTGATGGGGCATTTAAACTCCTGTCAGAAGCTTGGAGCTTGTTGTCTGATAAAGCTAAACGGTTAATGTATAATCAGCGGAGAACATCAACTAGAGGTCATCAACAAAAACCTCCAGTGCATTCTAGCGGTGGCCCCACACGAACGAATGGCATTTATAATAATCTCAGTGGTGGTGCTCGGATGGCACCCACTTCTGTCCGTCCTCCATCGAAACCAAGAATCGACACCTTCTGGACCCTTTGCCTCCGGTGCAACATGCACTATGAGTATCTGAAAGTATATCTTAACCAAACACTACTTTGTCCCAATTGTCGTCAGGCCTTTAAGGCCACACAGATGCCTCCACCTAATTCAGCCCCTCGATCACAGCAGTCGAATCCAGGAAGAAATGTTGGACCAGGCAGACCGCCAACTGGGGGTCTTAGTTCTGCCAACCACCCAAACTTCCAGCGAGGCCCACTCTCTGGAATGGCTGATCCTTCAATTGCGGCTAAGGCAGCAAACGTCGTACAGCTGGCGCATGAGAGAATGAAAAGGGAGCGTGAGGGTTCGCAAAATGCTACTTATAACTCTGGTTTTAAAAACGAAACTTCCAATAAAAAGGCAAGACTGAGTGAGGAGATTAACCGTTTCGTCTCAAATCCAGTCCATAACTTTTCAGGTCGGCATTCTAGAGAGTTGACCCCATATGAGACCACCAAGATGCTGATGGTGAAAGCCAAGACAGAGATTCTCAAAAAGATGAACGAGTGGAAATCAGAAACCATGCACAAGTCGGCTCCAGATAAGGAGAAGTTTAAAGACAAAAAGAACGGAAAAGAAAAGATTGATAATATGAATGAGAAATCCAATCAGTCTTTCGTGAGAGAAGCAGAGAATTTGAAATCTTCTGCCTCTGATGATGATGAAGTGGGCAAGGAAAAGGAAGATCCTGCAATGGCAAGTATGAGTGTTCCAGATCCCGATTTTCACAATTTTGACCTGGATCGAACTGAAAGCTGTTTTAAAGAGAAGGAAGTTTGGGCTGCTTATGATGATGATGATGGAATGCCCCGTTTCTATGCCATGATACATAAAGTTATGTCAGTCAAGCCGTTCAAGCTGAAACTCAGTTGGCTTAACTCAAAAACCAATGCTGAATTCGGCCCCTTGGGATGGGTTGCTTCAGGTTTCTACAAAACGTGTGGTGAATTCAGAGCAGGCAGAGCTGAACAGAGCAGGTCTATTAATTCTTTCTCACATAAGGTTAAGTTTTCGAAAGGACCCCACGGAACTATTCACATTTTCCCGCAGAAAGGGGAGGTTTGGGCCCTCTTCAGAAACTGGTCTCCCGATTGGAACGAACATACCCCTGATGAGGTGATTCACAAGTATGACATGGTGGTGGTGGTCGATGACTATGATAGTGATAAGGGAAAGGGTGTGTCAGTTTCCCCACTTGTGAAGGTCAGCGGTTTCAAGACGGTGTTTCATCCCCATCTCGACCCTGGAAAAGTAAAACTAATACCAAAAGAAGAGATGTTTCGCCTCTCTCATCAGGTTCCAAGCCATTTGCTTACGGGTCAAGAAGGTCAGAATTGTCCAAAGGGATACATAGAGCTGGACCCGGCCGCTACTCCGTTGGAACTTCTTCAGGTAACAACAGCAGATGATGTTAATGTGGTGCCAACAGTGGAGAAGATTGGAGACATTATGGGAGATGTGATGGAAGTGAAAAGTTAGAGTGGTAAATCACATAGATATTTTTTGCAACTGAATTTGTAGCTATTAGGTGTTCTTTTGGTTGTTTTGAAGAAATGACTGTAGTTGAAGGAGATTATATTTGGCGCTGAAGCATGGGAAAAGAAAAAGGAAAACAAGATTGATTTTGTTGTGGCTAGAGGTAACTCTTAATGCCATGATGTTTTCACACTCTTAAGATGGTAACAGATGACTGTTCTTTAAGTTTTATTGTGAAGGCCTTTTGACAATATGGTAAAACAAGTTGATGTTTTGACCAATTACATATAGGTTACTTTTTGCCAGTCACAAAACAGCACAGTTCACTACATTATGCTTCCGCACATTCATGATCATTTTTTTTAATTTAGTTTATTAATTCAATTAGTACAATTTTGGGTATATAAATTGTCTGATGTGGCTTGTGCATTTTGTTAGAATTTATATGTACACAATAATCGTGGTAAATTCCATCGTACAGCCGGCTGTACGGTGAGCACCGTACAACCGGTCATTTTTGTAATTAAATCTGGATCGCTGCAACTCACCAACGAAGAACGACAGCCAAGTCCGTCGCTACATCCTCTCTCTTCCAGGTTCCGGCTAGCTAATATGCTTCTCGGTTGCTTATTGCTTCTACAATTTCACAAATCTTATTCCATGAGATTCTCGCTTCTTCCCGTTCTTTCTAAGCCTCTCACGTAAAATAAAATCTCAAACAATAAAAACACAATCATGAAGGTCACCATCAAACTTTCCACTTATATGAAATTATATCTCCAAATAATTGAATCTCGATCTAATTTATCTTCACTTCTATAAATTAGAAGCTCTACTCATTCAAGTTTGCATTTATATTGTGAGAGTTATTGGGGACAAGACTGATGGATTTGATCACATACACAAATGAATACTCAATAAAAGAAGTTTGATACTCAATTAAAATGTCTTCATAGTCAAATGAGTATAAAACCGAAAATGATGAGCATACACAAATGAGCTTTTGAATTTTTTGATACTCATTTTGTAAGTTATGTATGCTCATTTGGAATCGCTTTATTCTCGTTTTACAAGGTTTAACTCTTTGAGTTTTGTAAGTTATATATGCTCATACTACATTAGAAATGAGTTTTATGTTAAATTCAAATGAGTATAACGTCCAAAATGAATGAGCACATACAAATGCGTTTTTTATTTCTTTGTAACTCATTTTGTAAGTTATGTGTGCTCATTTGGTATTGTGTAATGCTCAATTTAAAAGGTTGCACATTTCAAACATATCATACTACATTAAATTCACATATTGAAATTAATTGAAATTGATTATAGGCATAACTTAAACTTTCTAATAAACGAAAAAATAATAAACAAAAAGTGATATATAAGGTATGAAGCAGAGATCACTGATGCTCATCGTTAGGCTCCTAATACTCAAAAGAATACACTTGATGCTCATCAAAATTGCATAAATGCTCATTTAAGAGAATCCGTGATTTTCACAAAAATTACAAGTTTGCCACCGACTGTACAGTATAGTGATCACTGTAGAGCCGGCTGTATAAGTATTCAATAATCGTTTCTTTGTGTAATGCATGTTCTACTATGATGGTGACATATGGATGTGTGCTAATTTGGATTCTATTTTTGTATTTTTATTGTTGTTGGGAGTTTTTAGTCTATTTAGTTTGTAGGCATCCTAGCTCTCATATTATTTGTTATGGATCATTATTACCACATACTACCATGGACAATGTCCTAGGACCAGGCCCTCATATGATTTGTTATGGATCATTATTACCACATACTAGCATGGACAACGTCCTAGGACCAAACCGTATTTGGACCAGTTAGTTCCTGGGATTCAACTAGGACCAGAAAATCCAGTATGGGCTGACCGGGTGAGGCTGGGAGGGGATATTAGTCCGTGGCCTTGATTTTTGGGTCCCAAATCATGTGCCAATGACTGCTCCTCTGTCCCAACACTATCTTCATTCTTTCTTTTTTCACTCATCCCAATATAAACTTCTCTTTCTCTTTTTGACAAAGAATGTGTGGTTCACAGCGTATGTCCTCACTTTACTTTTGCACTTCCACTCAAACACTCCAATATATGCTTCTACTCAAAGGAGTATAAACAGTTTTAAGAAGCAGATTCAAACAGTCCCTAAAAACAAACGAGGAAAGGGTCAATTTAGTACACCAACTTGTACGAGATGGAGTAAATAGTACACTATATTGCATTTGATCTTTTTAAGTACACAAATTCAGGATTTTAGTGTTAATTGAGTACATTTGTTAGATTAACACGTTAATACAGCGGAGTTGGCTAACAGAATGTCGAGTAAGAAGGGGTAATGGACCAATGTTATGGTGCTGACCTTCACGAAGTCGACAAAAAAGGAAAAATCGACCTTCAGAGGTCGACCTGCGGGGGCGTCGACCAACAAGGGTGCATCGACCAAGGAGAAGTCGACCTGCGGGGGTCTGACATCGACCAAAGGGAAGTTGATCAAGTGACTGGGGGCTGGTGTTGACCTTCAAAAAGTCAAAGTTTCAAAACTTAACGATGTAAATTCAATTTTAATGATGAGAATCACATTTATGAAAATTCAGATAATGAGGGGTAGGGATGGACCCGGGCCGGTCCGGTTCCGGTTTCGGGCCAGGACCGGGCGGGCTTTTTTTTTTCAAATTGTTGAGCCCGGAACCGGCCCGGGTTGATACCGGGTCCGGGCCTAACCGGGCCGGGCTGGGCCCGGGTCAAGGTAATTTTTTTTTGCTTTCTAATTAACCCCCGACCCCCCCCCCCCTCCCCCTTCAACCCCCACCCACAACCCCCCCCCCCCCCCAAAGACCCAGCCCTAACTAAGAAAAACAAAAAAAAATTGACAAAACTAAAAAAAAATAAAAAAAGCCCGAGCTCGACCCGAATCGCCTGGGTCGGTTCAACAAATACAGGGTCCGAGCTTGGCCCGCCCAACCCTCCCCAACCGGGTAAAATCCCGGGCCCGCACAGTGGCAGGCCGGTCCGGGCTCGCACAGTGGCGGGCCAGGCCGGTTCCGGGCCGAACCGAACCGGTTGGGTCCATCCCTTGAGGGGGTGACATTTAATGTTTTAATGTCGTGCAATAGCTGAGAGATTGAACGTGCAATTTCTCCATTAAACTAAGTAATGTTTTGTGTTGTGTAAAAGAAAACGTAATGTTTTACGCTTCATTCTATTCTTTTATCTGCCATTTTATCCTTTATTTTTTATTAGCTAATCCAACTTTGCCTTCATTTTAAAATAACGATTTAATTATCATTTTCGTAAAAAAATCCCAAGTTTCTCGGATCAAAGAATTAGTACTTGTAAAAGTTACTTGAAGGGGTTGTGTTTTGTGCTGTCAAATGATTTAAGTAGAAGCAAACAAATGACTTTGTTTTACACTGTCAAATGTAAAACAAAACAAAAGAAGATTACCGTGCCTAGATTACCGTGCAAAACAAAGTTACGATGCTTTACTTCTTCAGTCTTTGTATTTCGTACGTAGTATTATCTAACCTTAAAACCAAGCATTCCAGCTCACCGGATGAGAGGTTATCGTGCCTAGTGGAGATCTCGAGTTCGAAACCCGCTAGGCACATTTAAGGGAGATGAGGAAGTCTTGTTCCCAATGACTCTTCCTACTTTCACGGAGTGACACAACGGCTAAGAAAGGAGAGGATGGAAATACAGGTATACCGAGTTCGCGTGGTGGGAGGGCCTTGCTGGATTCAGGTTGTCATGTTGGATTCGTCCTGAATTTCAGGCCTAAGCTACCGAGTCCACATAGTGGGAGGACCCTGTGGATTCAGTTTGCAAGGCTAACTGTTGGATGGGGCCATGAGGGTCGAACGCAGCACGTGTAACTGGTGGATTAACATTGATGCCACAAGACATATATTTACAAAAAATATATTAATTGTTTTTGACATATATTTGCAAGCAAGTACAAAGTATAGACTTAAAAAAAATCCAGAAGTCAATATTTTCTTCATTAATTGATTTCAAATTATTTTAAAACCACACAATTAATGTTCTTTTGAAAAGTTGAAATTCTAGATAAATGCAAGCATAATAATTTGTTTCTATGTGCATTTTTAACAAAAAAAAATGGCATATATTTCATATGTTGTTTAAATCCAAGTAATATTATTTAAAAATATTTTTTTTAGAAATAGATTTAAAAAATTCTCACATCGAATGTAATTTGACATGAAGATACTTTATTTTCAAAATTTTCAAAATTGAAGTAACTATTATTATTAAATGCATATACGTAGATCTATTATAGAAATATTTTTAGCGTGATTGTGTCTTATTAATTTTTTCAAATAATATTTTCAAAAAACATATTATGTTTTTTTGTATATGAAATCATTTTGCCAAAAAAAGTATATGATGTAACGTTATGTATAATCAAATATCATTTTCATAAAATATCTTTAAGTATTATGGTAGTAATAAAAGCAAATCTGCTAGATCTGTGGGTTGTGAGTGTGCTAATTTGCACAGAAGTCCAATTAGATGGTTTTAAGATAAAGGTTTAATAGGTGAGATGATTGTGTATAGTAGAGGGAGTGTGTTCTTACCGTTTAATAAGTCTAAGAGGAGGATGATGCAGATGAAGCATACGAGACAGAGGAGGCTTATAAGAACTTCATTCATGACTGGCTCCTGAAATGTTGGCGGAGAATTGGTAGAAAGGGGGGATGCGTGACTGACTTTTGACCGACCGTTGGTTGAAGAAGTGCTTGGAGTGAAATATTGTTGAGCTTGGTTGGAGAGAGGTTGGGGCCAATTGTCTTTTGCTTGGAGGAAATGAAGGGTTGAAGAAGTGTTTTGGGTGAAATGTTGGTGGGGTTGATTGAAGAGGGGTGGCCGAAGAGGAGAACAATTGTGTTCACCCCCTCTTTTGAGGGTGAACATCACCCCCACCCTATTGGGTTGCCACATGACATGACAATTGTTTAAACTTTTTCAATTATTATAATTTTCATTTTCAAAAATTATATCAATATTTTTTATTTTTTATGATCTTTCATATTATACCAATATTGAATACGTAAAATTAAAAAAAAAATCCGGCCAAAAATATATTTAAGCAAAAAAAAGTTTTTTCCCAATTTTTTATATGAAATATGGATAGCAATGGGAAGATAATAAAAAATTATTAAATCTGATATATTTTTTGTGAAAGGAAAAATACACACCGGAGTTCTTGAATAGTATAAAATTATCCGATGTACCGAATCATGGGTTAACGTTAAAGGTAGGGACTCCGATGATGCTTTTGCGAAATATTGATCATTCATTGGGGTTGTGTAATGGGACTCGGTTTATTCTAACGAGGCTTGGTGATCATGTTTTGGAGGGGAAGATTTTAACAGGTGTGAGTGCTGGACAAAAAATATTAATTCCTAGATTTTCCATGACCCCATCTGATGCCAGCTTGCCTTTCAAATTTCAGAGGCGACAATATCCTCTTATGACTTCATATGTTATGACTATAAATAAAATTCAATGTCAATCTTTGTCCCGTGTTGGGTTGTTGTTGAAAAACTGTATTTACCCCGAGGTGGCAAAATCTCGATATCAAGGGTGACCAATTGTTCTGGTTTAAAAATTTGAATTTTTTTAGAAGATGAAGGAACCACTGACAAAACTCGGAATGTTGTATTGAAGAAGTACTCAACAATGTTTAGGGTTACATGAAATGCATATTTACAATGTTATGATTTCTACGTATTTGTTGGTTGTTTTTTATCTTTTAAATAATGCTTAGTGCTCTCTTTTTAACCATAATATTATAAGTGTATTTTATTTATTGCTTTGATCTATATCAGTATTCCATGGAGATAGATGCGGTCATGAATTGATAGTGTGATTTGAATTGGTGTACACAAAAAATTGAAACAAAATTTTCTGACCGTGCATCGCACCCATTCGCACGGGTGAGTTTACTAGTTTTTTATAAACCAAAACATGTCTATGAACAATTATTTTTTTATTCGTCAATAGCTATAAACCAAAAAATGGGGTTTGAAATTTAAACATAAACCATGCTTCTGAAATCTGAATTGTCAATTTTTTCGGCCTTGAATGTTGTATGCATTTTTTTGTACATATTAGTACATGTTTGTGAACAACTATTTGTTTATTTGTGAATATGTTTTGTTCACAGACCTGTGACTCTGTGTATTGATGTGTACAAAAACATACATACAACATTCCGGGCTTGTCACTAGTAAGATCCCAAAGAAAATTCTCATCCTCGTGCTCTGCTCGTGCATATGTAGATGACAACCTTTGAACTTTTGAAGATGTCTGAGGCTTCCCTAAAAGGCTAAAATCACATAAATTTCTCCATATTCTCATCAAATTTAATCGCACATTGCATATTTTTTACAGAGTATGAGGGACTCATCCTCAAAAATCAAATGCAAAATTTAGCAAGTAAAAACTAAAGCGATGGAGAAATATGAGCAAAATCTAGCAAAAAATACCAAAAAATAAAATGGTGTGTATTGACCCTGTGTTGACCAGGCATTGACCAGAACATTGACCGATGTGGGACCACAGCATAACTATGGAATACGGGCATCTTAAATTCGATTTAGGATTTGAAACCCTTATACTTATATACTCCCTCCGTCCCGGAATTATCTTCGTTCTTTCCTTTTCGGTCCGTCCCAAATTTATCTTCTTTTTCCCTTTTTGGTAAAGAATATGTGATTCACAATCATTCTTACACATTTCTCTCCTCTGCATAACTCTCCACCACACAAATCTCACTATCTTAAACTCGTGCCCGGTCAAAACCGGAGTTAAATATGGGATGGAGGGAGTAATTGATAGGTTTGAATGAGACTCACATGTAAAATTACATTTTTGGATAAGATAAAACTGTTATTTCATGTATGTTTTGTCTATATTATTTATGTTTAGAAGTTTAAGAGAATTTTTTGTTAAGGTGACACTAGGGAGAACTTGCAGATATATTTTAGGAATTATAATATCTTCCATACCCCCCCCCCCCCCCCCCTAGAACTCTACAGATCTGGATAAAGGTCTAAAATTTTGGGACACGGCCCCATTAATAATAGAGTTTCTTCCGAAAACGTATTACACAAGAGGGTAAATTCTCTAGTTCCATACTTCCATGCAAAAAAACAATCAAGTTTGTACTGATATACAACTTTTTTGGGTCATAGAGAAATATTTTATATTAATAGATATGCGTAGTGAAATTAGTGCAAGATAAAATGAAAGAGACTAACTAAAAAGACAAGCAATATGTAAATATATTTATGAATAATTTTGGCATATTACCATTAATCAATAAATGCCCAAAGACTGTACATGTTAACCCGATCTCTTTGCCCATGGCAACAAAACCAAACACTGCACTAAATTAGAACACAGCCGAACTCGATCCATTAAAACTAGTACGAAGTATAACCCAATCCTACGGGGCAGCAACTGTTGAGAACCCCCCCCCCCCCCCCCCCCCCCAATAAAAACATGCGCAATAAATCATTTTTTCAAAAAAATTAATTGATGTACCAAGTTGTTGCTTCGCATAGAGTCCCCCATGAGCAGCTAGGAAGAGTAGAGCTGACCGCACCAATGCGAGAGGTATGATGGAATGTGAAATATATACCGGGGGGAGAACGAAAGAAAAAACTAAACCAACGCAAGTTCCTCATCCTCCTCTTGTTGTTGCGGTTGTTGGTTAGAGAGCCGAGCTTCACGATAGGGGAGTAGTATTCGCTTGATTTCATCAGAACTCAATGTCTCGTACTCGAGCAGAGCATTGGCTAAAGCATGTAATGCCTTCTCGTGCTGCAAGGAAACACACATACACAGAATAGTGAGCATAAAAATGCATCTCACAAGTCACAATAACAAACAGCTACTGAGCTACCAAGTCCATCCTTTATAGAGTTGGGTGGTTAATGTTGCTTCTTTCATTTCTAAATAAATTTCAACCACACCATTTATATTTTTGAAATTCGCATGACAAAAGAAATATGAAGTTTATTGTGGTACGTGGGAGTAATTAACTAATCACTGTACCCCAAGGAGGTGTTGTTTTCTATCATTTTTAATGGGCACAATTATTATAAATTAATAAGACTAAACCTTCTTTAGCAGATTCTTTACACGATCATAAGCTTCTCTTAGGAGTTTAACTACCTGCACAACCAACAATAGCATTGTCACCCATAAAAGACAGTTCATTGCTCCAAAAGAAATTAACATGCTATCCAAGTCAGACATACCTCAGCATCAATGCGTGATTGCATTTCCGCACTTGCCCGCTCTTTGATATGAACTGGTCCAATTGTGTCACTCATCCCGCAAGATGATACCTAAATCAAGTATGACACCGTTGGGATTATAACGAGCAAAATGCAAAAATAATAACTAGACAGAAAAAAAAAAAGAATAAGAAGAGGGCCAGAAGTTACAAAAAAGGAATCATAAGATCCCATTAGGGACTCTAAAATGAAAAAGAACATATACAGGAAATATAGGGTAATTATTTCATCATCATCATCATCATTACCCTAGTGCCGCAACACTCCCACACCTTTGGTGGGGTAAGGGGGGTCGGATGTACGCAGTCTTATCCCTGTACTAAAGCCTAGAGAGACTGTTTCCGAATGATTATTTAATGAGAAAAATGTCAAATCCAATTTATTTATCATTCGTATGTTAAGCTAAAAGCAAAGTGTAAAAAACGAACTTTTCATTTCCCTACTAATTTCTTAGTTTCAAACGCAGTCCTAGAAAATACGTAAGTGGGAGCGCATAAAAAAAATAGAAGATTTGCTTCATACAGAAAGAGTTGTACCATGTACTGTGCGAGTTCAGTAGCAGTGTGAAGATCACTACTAGCTCCAGTAGTTACATGGTCTACACCAAACACAAGCTCTTCAGCAGCTCTTCCTCCCATACAAACATCAAGCCGTGCTAATAACTGTTTTTTGCTGATTGAACTTTCATCATTCGAAGGGAGCTGTGTGACCATTCCCAAGGCGGACCCACGTGGCATAATAGTTGCCTTATGGATCGGGTGTGCACCTTCTGTGTTCATGGCCACAATTGCATGTCCACTCTCGTGATATGCTGTTAACTGAAATGAAACCAAATAACAACTCATTGTGTTTTCATTTTTGCTTAAATATGTATTTCTCCTGCAAATAAAGCATTGATATAGATCCTTGCAAACTAATTTACGTAGTATTAGTTATTCATCATTTTAATTTGCACTTTTTTCTTTTTAGTCCCTAAAACACGGGCTATAGCTCAGAACTCTAGTTTAACCTTTCTAATTCAAGTTTCTGTAGACTACAACTAATCCTACTATAAGGGGAGTTAATGCTTAGAAACACTCACCCTGCCCAATTTAATTTATGTCGCTTTAGCTCTTTGGAAATAAAATATTATGCATTCCTTCTTTAAAAATAATGTGAATAACCAGATTAAGTTATGTGATGCATATATGTTTTTTAGCAGAAGCTAACAGAGAGGGACTAAAAGAGCCTAAATTGCAGGGATGAATAATGAGTTCAAGAAGGGCTTAAGAGAAATTATATATTTGCATTGATGAACATAATTAAGCCATTTCGGGTAGGAGGGCGGGGATGAATATGAAGAAGCCAGATTGAGCACACACCTTTTTTGACTCTTCAGATAGGAACATTGTCTTGCGTTCTGTTCCCATCATTATTCTGTCTTTGGCAAATTCTAGTTGCAATGAAGTCAACTTCTCCGCACCATCAACAGCAGCCTTAATTGCAGCAATATTGACAAGGTTTGCCAAATCTGTTTGGTAATGGTGCATATTTAATAAGGGGAGAGATGATCTAACTGGGAAAAGAAAAAATATAAAACCAAATATATACCTGCCCCATTGAACCCTGGTGTCCCACGAGCAATAGCATTTGCATCAACATCAGAATCAACTGGTTTGTCCTTTAAATATAGCTCCAGTATTTCTTGACGACCACGTACATCTGGATTTGGCACAACAATCTGAAATGAAGAAAAGCATGTGAACTAATACTAGTTTATTTTAATGATATCACACAGTTCAAAATACTTTCTCAGTATTAATGCAGAAAACAAATGTAATGCACGCGACATACTTATGTAAAGATAAAAATCCATGAGTCCCAATCTATTTATCGTTATAGGAAATTACACACAAACCAAAGTAATAATTAGAAAGAATTCCCTATCCGTATTTATTATTCAATATTCCTAGAAATTAGAAACTATCAATTTTCCTCTCAAAGTCTCAAAGATTTTGTCTTCCTATATCAAGATGTGGAATATGAAGGTATTTTATATTCTAGAGTAATGTAATCAATTATTATTCTTGTTTCCATTACTTATCTAAGTTATCTTGCAATTACTAATCATTCAACTTAACAAAATTAAATATGGACAATAAGTAAAGAAGAGTAAACATTATATCTTCGATTTCTAGAATGATAATTATTATGGGACACTTTTAAGGTTAAAATGAAAAATAGTTTGGGACAGAGTGAGCAGTAAAATATAGCTGCTAGCCTGCTAAAAAGATACAAAAGTGAAATGACTGACATGTCTATCAAATCTACCCGGCCTGGTTAAAGCTGGGTCAAGTATATCTGGCAAGTTTGTGGCAGCCATCAAGATAATACCCTGTACATACATGTTAGAAGGCGCTATTTAGTTGTGAACTCAAAAGAGGAAACCAATTAATGCATCACATGTATAGAAGAGACCAACCTCATTCTGCTCAAACCCATCCATTTCAACAAGTAACTGATGCAGTGTTTTCTTGGTATGACCTTCCCATTGCTTCCGAGTTGACCCAATAGCATCAATTTCATCAATGAATATTATGCAAGGAGCCTGAAAAGCCAGACATGAATATGACAGGTGAGAAAAGAAAGGGCACCTTAGACACATTCTAAAATTATTACTTTTGTATCGTTCAGAACAAAAAGAGACTAAGAATACAAAAAATTAACAGCGGATAGTTTTAGAGGACATGATAACCCTTCGGAATTCGGAAAAAGGTTGTGAAGGATAAAACCTGCTATTGAAATTGTTCACTATTTATATTTGGCTTTGACTTGATAAATCCAAAGGAAAATGATACGGAAAAATGATGAAAGAATGACGGAAATATGACTCTAGAGTTTCCTAAAGGCAAAAATAGGACTACATTTGAATTTGGACAAAAAGAGAGATATTTCATGTGAAAATCCAAAATTGCCCCAGCCCTTCACCCTCCCTCTACGCTGATCTCCATCTATGCAAAAAGACCTTTCACATTTTCCGTCTCTCTGCGATTTGGCAAAGCTCCATCCACGCCGATCAAGCACCGAGTTCAAGCTCTGCCTCCGCCACATCGACGCCGCTGCCGACTTTCACAGCTTTGCCATTCTTCTATTTCTTCTTTCTCCTCTTCTCGGTCTCTTGGTGTTGATGGATGGTCAGAAATCTTTGGATCTGACGACGAGGAGGCGAGAGACAGTGCGGCGAGAGACGGCGAGGCGAGCTAGCAATGGCGACGTGAGGCGAGCGACGACGTTGAGTCGTTAGCGGCGAACTCGTGGCTAGGGGCGGGGTTGCAGTTGGAGCCTAGGGTTGGAAGCTGTGGGTTGGTGGGACAACTGGAATGAGCTGGGGGTTGAGGGCCCAGATCTGGGATCTGAGGGTGAGGCTAGGGGATGGTGGCTGTGGTCTGTGAGGTTGGGGGGCTCGGCTAGGCTGGGTGAGCGGACTCTACTGTGAAAGAGAGTGCCCAGGGTGGGCTGGTGGGACAGGGGATTGGGTGGGGTGGACTGGTGGGGCAGGGGGTGGGTGGAGTGGACTGGTGGGGCAGGGGGCGGGGCTGGAGTGTGGTGCAGGGGCAGGAGAGTTGGTGGTTGGGGGTTGCAAGACTGCGGAGGAGCTGGGGCCAGGATGTGGATGGCTACCGACAGTGCGCCGCCTGCCGCTGCCGGGGTGGCATTCGTTTCATGAGCGTGGTCTCAATCAAGGCAGTTGGCTACCGGCAAAAAAACAGGTCACTGGCTGTCGGCAAAAGTGACAGGTGGTGGTCACTAGCCGGTGAGGTCACTGGCCAGCAGTTCACTATGGTGGGGCAGGGGACAGGGCTGGTTAGGCAGGGCAGAGCTGGTTGAGTGGTTGGGTAGGGGCAGATTGGACTGCTGGGGTAGCAGCAGGGTTGGTTGGGCACTAGGGGCATTGGTGAGGCGGCCGTGACAATTGGCAGGATGTCACTAATGGATTGGTCACTGGGGGCGGGTTGGTCACTGAGATCGGGGTGGTCTACGGCCGGAGGTCACTGTAGTCGGGATGTCACTGGAGCTGGATCACTAAGTGTTGGTAATTGTGGCATTGGTAACTGGGTATAGTCACTCTGTCATCAGTCACTAGGAATATAGTCACTATGGCATGGGTCACTGTAATGCATTGGTGAATTAGGTCACTGTAATGCATTGGTGAATTAGGTCACTGTAACACATTGGTCACTGTAGCGGATCTGCGGGGCTTAGTAAGGGCAAAATAGTCTGTTCATCCCTTTTTAGTCACATTTCTGGAAAGTTTTTAAAAATGACACTTTTTGTCCACTAGTTAATTTTTAGTAATATTGGTGTCCTAACCCCAAAAATGATTTCTTTCCTTCTATTTCCCTAGTTCCAAACAGACCTTAAATAGATAGAGTTGGCTAAAACTGAATCTACCTTCTTCTTAGCTGCTTGAAACAGTGATCTAACACGCCGGGCACCAACCCCCACAAACCTGCAGTAGAGAAAAGCAAAGTTGTTGTATGACATTACATTTCAGCGAACTTGGTACTAAGGATATCTTTGGATCCCGTAAAATGCTATGGAAATTTTTAAAAATGCCAAGTTTTGTTCTTACAGATTTGGTTTTACATGTTTAGATCCAGAAAATGACAAATAAGGTTATTGTCTAATGTTGGTTACCTTGAAAAAATGAAAAGTAAAACAAAATATAATAAAACATTTAACACTTCGCATATGTTCAGATTTTTTAATCTTTATATGATAAGAACAACTACATAAAATGTGTTTGAACACATCTAAAATCAATTATGAGTGTGTATATATTTTATTTCCCCCAAAATTTCGTTCCTTCAATACTCTTCTGTATGTTGGTCCAACCTATTTTGGACCAACACTGTATTTTCTTCCATTTTTGTTCCCTGGTAATATCCAAACAAACCATTGAGTATGAGGTTAATACAGTAAAGACTACATCTATTCTTAAAACTCCCAAGGGAGAGAAGTTATAATACATCTCTTCAAATTCAGAGCCTGCTTTGTAGAAGAAAGGAACCCCTGCTTCTCCCGCGATAGCCTGCAAAGCAAGATCCATCAAAGCCTAATAAGCAGATGCATACAATTTACTACTACGTCCATCAAAAACTCACAAAGCAGATCATACAAGATGCATCCAATTCTAATAAGCAAATGCATGCAATGTACCTTATATCCTACTTACATCAATGTAACCATGGAAGTCCACAATTAAATGCCATATTGACCGATAAGAATCATATGAAGTAAAAACCACCTTAATCTACCAATGTATATAATTTCAGATATGAACCTCAATTGAGTCGCAAATAGTTCACATGTAAAACAGAAAACTTACTTTTGCCAGTAAAGTCTTTCCTGTTCCCGGAGATCCAGTCAATAAAATGCCCTGAAAAGACAAAAACACATCATGGTCATATTAAATTAACAATTTTCTTCAAAAACGCAAAATTTGAGAATCTTCTAGCTAACATAAGAACGTGCAAAAGCTTTATGACTAAAAATAAGAACCTTGGGCAATTTGCCCCCAAGCCTGGTGAACTTTGTGGGATTCTTAAGATATTCGACAACCTCCTCAAGCTCTTCTTTGGCATCATCGCAACCTTTGACATCTTTGAATGTTTTGACATTCTGTATCACAAAACAAAGAAAAATGGAATTTATTGCTCTAATCGGCAGACGACAAATCTCTCAGAGTGACATAACCAAGAAAACCTAATACCTTTTCGGGCATTACTTCCTTATTCAACTCTTTTGGAGAATAAGATGAGCTTGAACCAACACTTGAAGCACCCACACCGCCTAAGCCACCAATATACTTTTGAGCGGCTGCAGCCGTCACATACCTATTAATAAGGAAGGAGCAGTTGATGATAATTTCGTGTAAGGATCTTGCACATCTATGCAAATTATATGTAGTAAAGATTGAAGAGAATGGTTACCATAACAAACCAACAGCAATAGCAAATACAACAGTGGAGATAAGCTCATGAATGAGGCGTGGTGATTTTTTTGACTCATTAGGATCAACCTGATCGCAAAACAGACATTAAAATGGACTCCAATATGTTCAACAGAACCTTTTGAAATAAAGAATAATGGGTTAAAAATCTAAAACTATAATACATCAGTTGCTCCAATACTTTATATGATTGAAATATGAATTTATCTTAATCAGACTTCAAGAAACATATTTTAATTAAGACAATAAATCTTACCATGACCACATGCAACGGCTGCCTTTCCGAAACACCCGGGTTTAAAATGGGGTCATCCAGCTTCCCTAAAGCGCGTTGTTTCAACTCTTGTAACTGTATGTAGCATGTTAATTTTTAACTCAATAAAAAGAGAAAGCGAAATGTCAGTTCTGGAGTTGAAGATTAAATTTTTAAGAGTACTCCCGCTGTCATTAAATTATAACTACATTTTTCCTAATAAAAGAGTCAAGCTTTAAAATGAAATTTTCTTTTTGTAAGTAAAAACTTCTTGTAAAGCCAAGTGGGAAGCTGTTTTAGTCGATTACTCCAAACAACCTCTGAAATAGGCTTTATGGCTACAAGTTACCATGCGTAATTTGTAAGAACACTGGTACTTTAAATGAGTTGACTAAAAGTAAACTATTGTACCTTACACAAAGTCACAAACAAGACTCTTTATTGGGTCAGAGAAAATATTTCTCACCATATGGAATCCATAAAAAACAGGAGAGAAACAGAACTTTTCACCAACTGAAGAAAATCAAGAGTTATACAGCAATGCTAGGGAAACTATGAAAGCATAAACGTAGATAGAAAATTTTAAACAGGTACCCACCAATAATGGCAGAGTGGAAGGCTTCCCGGAACCCTCGTCAGGAAGATACTCGGCAATAGCATTAGTGGCAACAAGAGCTCGGAGATATTCTGCAACTCCTCTACTGTCTACCGCATAGGTCCTGTCCTCAAACCGTTTGATGACTAACTCCGGGCTATGCAAATTAAGGAACACGTTAAAATGCTCTACATAAATCATCTCAAAGAATTATGTTTAGAACCCCATCAGAACCTTGGTATCTTTTTTTAGAGAAAAAACCTTGGTATCTTATTTGACAATTGATCCATTTTTCTCTTGTTTTTGCTGAATAATCCAATCATCTATTCCCCCCTCGCAACCCCACACCATCTCCTAGCACAGCAGCAACAAATTTTGTTTTTAAGGTGGTCTTTTACTTTATTGACAGACTAGATAACTAAAGTTTATGAAATGAATTAGGATAAGAAGAGCTTAAACAAAGCCTAACCTATTTTTATTTAGCTCAACCAGCAAATCGCTTTGCTTTTTAGCATCTTGGGGGAATGAATTAGCCTCTGCAGTCAAATATTTCAGCCTCTTTTCATGCTGCCACATCAACCCCCAACCTAACAGCTCGGACGGCAACAGCAGCCTTTTCTTGATTTCCCCCAAGAACCATATCCCGAAAGGAACCCTCTCCTCGTTCTCCAATATCAAACCCCCGGATGTGACATCTCCTTGCACTTCCTCCGGCTCGGCTCTATCTTCAACTGAGGTGGATTCTGTAGCCTCCTGGTTTTCGGATGAACAGTCAGGAGAAGAATTCAAGTTCTCGGGGCGCAATGTGCAAGTCAATCTGAGGTGGCCGGAAAATAGATGTTTTCCGGAAGCTCCTCGGAGGAGGCGCCTAGAAGAGGAAGGGAAAGAAGATGAGAAAGCTAGCGGCTTGAATAAACACGAAGTTTGCAGCGCAGTCGCAGTCATTGGGCCCTGATGGGGTAAGTTCCGGATTTGATCCAGCTGAAACTGATGGGAGGGAGGGAGGGTTTAGCAAGAGACTGATTCTTTGTTCAATCAGAGGAAAGATACAATCTTTGTTTTGTGGAAGGGAAAAGTGAGAGCGATTCTTTGCTCGCAGTTCCTTCTCAAGAGAAAGCGGGGAAGGAAGCGTGCGAGTGTTGGCCAGAACTCAGAAGATTGGGTTTTCGGGCTTTGATGGATACGTTTGACACAAAACTGTGGCACCTTATCTTCAGCGAGAGAAATTAGACTTGATTTGGCGCTTTTCCAAATCCATATGATAGGTATGACTGTATGAGCATGAACTGCAATATGGGTTTCAATCCTCACTTCTTTTTCATTTTTGAAATGGAAACTTTTACAATCCAACACCTCAAAAGTTTAAATCAAGTTATATTAAGACATAAACTACTTCTCCTGGAACCCCTTAACAGAAAGTAAACATGCAATCTTTTTAATGTGCTTTAAATAGTTTTATTTACTTTTAAGTTCTCTTTAAATTATTTTTCATCACTATTTATTATTTTATTATTTTAAAAAAAATAGTTTTAACTTTTTTTATTTTGTTACTATATTTTTTATAAATTGAAATACTTTTTGTTGTTTTTTTTAATGTAAAATATGATTATCATATTAAGTTATGGTAAAGGTGGAAATGTAGAATAAGGATGTATTTACTTGGACCGTAATTTGCTGGTCTGGTCTGGTCTGTTTTAGTCTGGTCTGGTCTGATCTGTTTTGGTCTGGTCTGGTCTGGAATTTTATTTTTTATATTTTTTGCATAAAGATTTTATTTTTATATATATTTTATAATCAATAAATAATTATATTTTATTCATTTATAATTAAAAATAATAATATTCCTTCCAAATTATCGAAAATTGTTATCATTTTACTTGTCCTGATTTCAATCCCAGACCGAAGTAGATCAGACAAGACCAGACCAGACCAGACCAAAACAGAACATGCCATATTGAACCGGAATATGAATAATAATAATAATAATAACAATAATTATAATAATAATAGTAACAATTGTAGAAGTAATAATAATAATAATAATTAGAGGCGTGCACTATCCGGTTTAAACCGGAAAACCGGACCGAACCGGACCTAAAAACCGCAACCGGATCGAACCGGAATGATATCCGGTTCGGTTCGGTCTGGTCCGGTTTTGAACCAGTGCACACCCCTAATAATAATAATAATAATAATAATAATAATAACAACAACAACAACAACAAAATATGGTCTGGTCTGAGCTAGTCTAGTCTGGTCTGTTTTAGTCTAGTCTGGTCTTGTCTGGTCTGGGACGAATTACAGTCCAAATAAAAACAACCTAAGAAGATAAACGGTACTTCAATCCTATTTTAGTAAGATAAATAACATAGTCCTATTTGTGTATTTATGGATTAGTTTAGTCCTATTTTTGAGAATGTTTTCTCAAAAATATATCAGTGGTGGAATAAAGATAAGAAAAGGAAATAAGTAAGTTTAAGTAAAAAGAACGTAAAGTAAAAAGTTAGTACGGTAAGAAAAAAATCTTTTATAAGGAAAAATGGAATACATAAGCATTAAAAATGAAAAATAAAAATTGAAAAGAAATAAAAATAAGAATAAGAAGACCAAAAGGGAATAAAAGAGTCAAGACGATAAAAATAAAAGGGGGTGAGTTTAGGGAGAAAAAAGAAAAATGATACGTGGGACCGCTTGGAGAAGATTTGTGAGAGGTGAGGTTTATGGTCGAATGATTTGCAAAGAAAATGAAAAAATATGGAATAGCAGGTCATCAATCAGTTAGGCACGAACGAATGAAGATGTGATGCAATGTTGGATTATTTCTAAATTACGATAAGGTGAGACTATTATAAAAAGAGTGTCCAAAGTTTTTCACTTTTTTGAAAGTCCTCCGTATATCCGTTTGCATTTGAAGGGCCCCCAAATTGACTTTACTAAAACCCAGTCACAAGAATGGTTCCCACTTGAAAGAAGATGATACTCTGCCGGAACCCCTTGCCACCCACATCATATAGCTCCAGCCGCCATCTCTATCTCTCGAAGAGTGCAGGTGTCAAGTCTTCTTCAGTTGGGTGTCTTGTGGTACAGCCTCCTCCACCGTCTCTGACATCTTCTACTTCAGTCTCCACCCCCATTGCCGACGTTTTCTACTTCAGTCTCCATCTCCGGCGTCCTCCAGCGGTTTAATAGGAAGAAGAAGAAACGATTTGATATGAATAAGAAGCGTCTTCTTCAACGATTTGCCCCCACCACCGCCAATGTCTTCTCCTTGACCTCCATCGCCAGCGTCTGAAATTTGCTTGGAAAGAGACGGAATTGGGAGAGCGGACAGTCACTTGTTTGGCTGTAATTTTACGCAAATACCCATATTATTCCTTAACCAATGAAAACCAAACTTCATTTCGGAAGCCACTCACTTCTGAATTCCTAACTTCCATCAATCGCGATCGGCAGAACCGCTGTGCGCTAAGGTCGAGCACTTGAGCTGACTGTCCATCCTCCGAATCCCTTATTCACCAGACCCGACTGCCGAAGCTGCAACTCTAATACAGTGATAAACATGGGACTTTAAGAGTTGCCGAGTTGGGGAGCCACTTACTTCTGAATTCCGGTTCTTCAATCTTCCTTCAATCCTTCAGGTATGCTGCCTTTAATCCTTTATTCCTTAATGTTTTCGTTCTTACGTACTCCCTCGGATCTTTTTAATCCTTTATTCCTTAATGTTTTGACTTCACATCGATTAAGAAAATAAATTTTATTTTGCCGCAGAGTACACAGTTTAGATTGACACGGTTGAGATATTGTTTGGCACTGTTGCACAATGTTTGACACTGTTTAACATTTTTATGTAGATTTCTTTGCAAAATAAGGAAGTGGTTAAGTTTATTTTGGACTGTCCTCAAAAGGAAAAGGAAAGTGTGAAGTTTATTTAGAACTGGACGGAGTATTACAGATGAGTTAGTACTAGCTATTTTAGGTTGATTTAGGCTCTGACTACTTGACTTATTGACTAGTGTTTGACTGTTTGGTCATGATTCATAAACTTATGTATTTTATGTAATTCAAATTTTTTATCATACTATTTTGTGAAATGATGAAATTGTCAATGCGTTTTAACCTTTTTACCTAAAAGTTGTAAGTTGTTATGTAATTGAAGTCCGATTTTGTGATAGTGTCAAATTTCTTTGGTAAAAATTTTGAAGTTTCATTATATTTATAAATTTAATTAATTTGAAGGTGTAATAAAAATGATTTAATGAGGATGGGAGAAAAACAGAAAAAGGAGAAGATTAGAAAAAGTGGCATTTGAGTCAAAAGGAGTAAAAAAGGTTAATGGAAAAATTAAACGATTCAGAATGATCAATAATATAACAAGTTAGCTATCAATAACGGTTTTGGATGGATCAAATATACCAAGTCCAACCACTTGTCCTTGATTTTGGATATTTATGTTATACGGAGTAGTTAATTGAGGGAATCTATATGCCAAAACAAATGAATTATATGTGGTCAACAATGGATTAACAATACGGAGTATTAAGTATTGAACATAATGAGTTAAGAAAACTTTGACTATGAAGCTGTTTTGCTTCACAATGCGCATCAAAAAGTGTATTTATGTAATATTTGATTTTTATCTTTAATTTATATTTTGTAACCTAAATTTACTTTGTTCAACTCTACAATTTATAAATTCTTTTTCTTTATTACGGAGTATTACAACTACTGAAATATTAATTTTATGCATTTTAGTTTAGAAAAGAATTCAAATATTTAAGATTAGACCCCTTCAATCACTCAAGTGCCGGCCCTGTATCTGAATTCACCATTTTCTTACTATACATGTCTTTTTGCCTTAGTTCTTTTAAATCTGACCTTGAATCTGCACCCCACCCCTGCATTCAAAATGACACCCCATTCAAGATGAAATTTTCTACAATCAAAGATTAATACACTGTTGAAAAGCTTGGCGGAAACACCTTAAATGAAGAAAAATATGGAAAAACTGTAGGGGCAGAATCTCACTTCGTTGAACATATTATATAGGTCAGAATGCTGGAAGCGGATCTAAAATTTACAGCAGCATTGAGACACAAAAAGTATTTAATGCCATATATTTACATCTGAAACTCAAAGGCCAATGTGATAATTACTCCCTCCATCCCATAAAATAGTTCCCACAAGGATTTGGATCGGAGATTAAGAAAGTGGGAATAAAGTGAAAATGTATGGTTGTGGTTGAGTAAGAAAAAGATAAATGAATGGTAGCCGCACAAAACTCTCGAAAAAGGGAAATGAGAACAATTTTTTGGGACGGCCCAAAAAGGAAAGTGGGAACTATTTTGCGGGATGGAGGGAGTATTATTTTTAGAAATCTAATTTACATCTAATTTATGTTTCTATGTACTCCGCGTCTCGATCAGCCCAATTCATTCCCTGTTTATTCAATGTGAACCATATTTGTTGTAGTGCTAATGTCCAGTGCTTGGCAATAGATTTACCATGGCCCATGGGAGCACTGCAAGAATTATTTTTAATTGATTATTATATTTTTAAAATGTTTCTTATATTCACCATCTGAACCATGTGATTTTTTCTAATTTACTCTTATATTTGCATATTTATATGTCTCTTTAACCAATCTAATATACATTGTATTACATCAAAAAAGAAAAAAGAAACACATAAACTATGTCTTGTGGAAATATAAAAAATATCTGATTCAATTTTGACCAAATCTAAAGTCATATGGTCATAGTAATACAAAAAGCTAATGTTCCCTCCTCATTCAATTCAATGAATGGTTTGACTCAATAAATTTGTGTAAATAATATGCAACTTAATTAAAGTTTAAAGTATTTTATCACTTAATGTATACATGTTTGTGTTTGTGTGTATACATTTTTTAATACCTATGTAAATATATATATATATATATATGTGTGTGTGTGTGTGTGTGTGTGTAAAATATTTTAGTTCTGGTCCAAAATAAAAAGATTTTCAGATTCACTTAGTGATTTTTTATGAAATGTGTTTTAGAAAAAAATCAGATTCAATTATTAATTGACCATCTTTTTTCAATTAATAAATGTAGTTGTTCATTTTGTATTGTTCTTTTTTAATATAAAATCTGGTTTAGGTTAGTGTGTTAACAACACAGTTTGGGTTAGATTTAGAACAAATGCTTAAGTTTCCCTTTGATGTGTAAAGATAGTTACTGAAGCACTGTTACAAATACTTTATTAGTGCACTGTGATCAACTTGTATTGCAAAGACGGTAAATTAATATATTAATGTGATAATTTAAAATACAACTCAGTTGGCATCTTTTTAGAAATAACAGAAAACATTCTTGTTGTTAACAGGGGGGATTAGCATTATTTATGTTTGCTAAGCATATTCTTCAATTTCTTTTACTTCGCGAATAAAAGAATTTCTGAATATGAATAGTTGGAATATACCATATCGAGGGGTTTCCTAAAATATTACTAAGAAAGAAGTCATGGACAATAATGTGATTTCACAACTTTTAGTGACTATAATTGTGTTCAAACTTTGTATCGTAGTCACTATATCATACTATCGTAGTAACTTTGAATACACTTATAGTCACTAAAAGGTACCAAGTCACATTTTTGTCCACCACTTTCTCAAGAGTCAAGAGTAATATTAATGGAATTTTTTTTCATCTTTTTAATATTATCCAATTTATTATAGATGTGGTGAACTGTTGTAGAGTTGAACTTGTTATGCTATTTTATTTGCCTTTGATAGTTAGATATATATTTATCCTTATATATATATATGCATTATTTGCAGCCTTTTTATTTTATCATTTTTATATATATTCATCTTTTTTATATTATCTTTTCATAATAGCTTATCTTTTTATCTTTTTTCCTTCTCTTCCTTTTGATTGTGATATCATGTATCGATTCATGTTAGCCGACCCCAATATCTTTTGGGACTAAGGCTTGGATGTTGTTGTTGTTGATAGTTTGATGAAAACTTCTATGCTGGTAAAATATTTGTAATATTTCTTTTTGTAGTTTATCGAGTTGCGGTTTTTTTGTGTACTAATTTTTTGGCCTATGCTCAATTGAAATGCCAGACCCGCTCCTGCTTATGAAATTGACGTCCCCAAGAGTTTGGAAGCACAGTAGGTGGAAAAGAAACTGCAGCACCGCCACTGGCCGACGGTCCGAATCAGACATTGTTTCCATCAACACTAGCATTACTGAGCTTGCCAAACGCGGCCACCTCGACGGAGCACGCGAACTATTTGACGGAATGCGCGAAAGAACCGTCGTCTCATGGAACACCATGATCTCTGGATATGCCCACTGGAGAAAGTACATTGAAGTTTTTACTTTGCTTTCCTTGATGCAGCGCAGCAGTACAAAGCTTAATGAGTCCACACTTTCATCTGTTCTTAGTGTTTGTGCTCATTCGGGATCGTTCTGCAAAGGAAAGCTGCTACATGGCTTGGTTTTGAAGTCTGGATGCGAAAACTTTAAACTCGTTGGGAGTGCTCTGTTATATTTCTACTCAAGTTCTTATGAAGTTGAAGACGCGAGGAAGGTGTTTGATGAGTTTCACCAAAGGAATGAACTGCTTTGGAGTTTGATGCTCGTGTGTTATGTACAGTGTAACCTAATGAATGATGCTTCAAGGATCTTCAACAAAATGCCAACTCGTGATGTTATTGCCTGGACTGCATTGATCTCTGGATACTCGAAAACTCAACAGGGATGTCAAAAGTCTTTGGAGTTATTCTCACTGATGAGGAACGAAGATGATGTGGCACCAAATGAGTTCACTTTGGATTGCGTGGTAAGAGCTTGTGGTAGACAGGGTGATTTACCAGAAGGAAAGGCCCTTCATGGGCTGGTAGTCAGGTTTGGTTTTGAAGTAGACCTTTCCATGTGCGGAGCACTTATTGATTTTTATTGCAATTGTATGGAGATGGATGATGCAAAAAGTGTATACAATCAACAGATGAATCCTTGCTTGAATGATTCAAATGTGTTGATTTCTGGTCTTGTTACGGCGGGAAAGATTGAAGAAGCTGAATCTGTTTTCAGAGGGTTGATTGATAGAAATCCAGTTTCATACAATTTGATGTTAAAAGGGTATGCTTTGTGTGGCCAAGCTGACAAGTCAAAGGATCTATTTGCTGAAATGCATGAAAGACCATTAACTTCCACAAATACTATGATCTCTGTGTATTCCAGGAACCGTGAGATTGAGAAAGCTCTGGAACTATTCGAAACAACTAAAGAATATCAGAACCCCGTTACTTGGAACTCAATGATATCAGGTTACAATCAAAATGCTCAACATGAAGATGCACTAAAACTGTATCTCAAAATGCGTCGGGTACCAATCAGCCAAACGAGGTCTACATTCTCTGCCCTTTTTCATGCATGTTCCTGTCTTGGGTCTCTACTGCAAGGGAAACTTATTCATGCACATCTGATTAAAACCCCATTTGACACTAGCATTTATGTCGGGACAGCACTTGTGGATATGTATTCCAAATGTGGATCCATAGCTGACGCTAAAGCATCGTTTGTTGGAATTGTTTGTCCAAATGTTGCAGCTTGGACGGCTTTGATCAATGCATACGCACACCATGGCCTTGGCACTGACGCAATCCTACTCTTCAAACATATGTTGGAGCAAAAGGTACTACGGCTACTGGGTTACGGTTTTGTCAACTCATCAACACCCCAAACATCTCATCATGGTCTGAAGAGGCCCTTCATAGTTGGGTTGTTGGGATGGGAGAAGTCTCTTGTTTATCATGAAATAGAATTATAAGAGGAATCATGGTCATTGAGCTACAAAAAACCAATCCTTTTTCCATCTCACTCCCTTAACTGATAAACTGTAATGCTAAGCTTTTATAGACTAAAAGCTACACACAAAAGCAAAACTATATTTTCCCTAAAGGCCAATGTCAAACATCATGGCTTTTCATTTTAACTCATAGACAGTTTGCTGATGTGTGCTCAATCAGAGGAACTAGTAGCAACAGTAGTTGGATAGTTTTGCTACAAACACCTCTTCCGACTTAAAATATTCTGTTATAACGATCCACACCCGTTATAGGGACCAGTCTAATCCTTATATTGGGCCCATATAAAAAACAAAGATCAGATGAACTCTAACACAATATTAAGACATAGAGTTTATCATAAAAGGTCCAACTGTCCAACAAGATATGAAGAGTAACCCAGTTCTTTTAAGATGGTTTGATATTTTTAAATTTAGCTGAGTTGGGACTTACCGTTCAATAGGTACATCCAAATGCAGCAACATTGGTCGCGGTACTGTCTGCTTGTACACACGTGGGCAAGGTGAGTGAGGGCATGAGATTTTTCCATGAAATGGAAACACGTTACGGCATAACTCCCAGTCTAGAACACTTCACATGCATAGTGGATCTTTTTGGTAGAACAGGCCATCTACTGGAAGCTGTGGAACTAGTAAAGGCTATGCCATTTGAAGCTGACAGAGTACTACTCATAGCTCTCCTCAATGCATGTTATTTCTGGTTGGATATTGAAGTTGGGGAAAGGGTTGCAGAGAAACTGTTGCGTTTGGACCCCACCACCATGTCTGGCTGCATCATAATGTCAAACATGTACGCTGGTTCGGGTAGGTGGGGCAGGAAGATGCGGGCAAGGAACGCTTTGAGAGAAATCGAAGCAAAGAAGCCTCCAGGTTGTAGTTGGATAGAGATAAATGACAGAGTTTATGTGTTTTCTGTAGACGATAGAACACATCCAAGTCGTTACCATGTTTGCTCAACTTTAGAACATTTAATGGCTAATGTGATGAACTCAAGTAATCCTTCTGTTTTCAGCCCTTCCTAATTAACTCAAGCTAATTAGTTTACTTGTTTGCCATTCATTATTATCCATCTTGTTCAGTCTTGCAGATAAAGAATCTGGCTATGTGCTATAGTGCTATACAACTGCATTACCGGTCTTATTAGATTCTAGGATTTTCTTGAGTTTTTTCCAAGGAGGGTACTTTCAAATCTTATTTCTTAAATTAGGGTAGTTTTAAACTTATTTCTCAAACACTATTCAATTTTTTTTATTCGTTTACAATTCAATTTTTTTATTCGTTGGTATCAACTATTACTTCCAATTGTTAGATCATAAAAATATTAAAATTTTCCGATCGGGAAATCGATTAAATTAATTATTTAAAATAATTGCGCATTTATGTATGTATATTACTAGTGAGACTAGTAATACATGATCCAGCTAAAGTTTCATCAATGATTCTTAGCTAAAAATATGAAGTGAAATACCAATGAAAATAAAACACTAACCAGAACCTACAGAAGGGTCGACAAAAGATTCCTGACGTTGAGTAAGTTTGAATACTTGTAAACATCATTTTCAGTACAAAATAAAGTTGGTCGGACGGGGTTTCCGTCAGACTTGCCTAATTTGAATGCTACTGTATACGGAGTATGTTATTCATAATATCCCTCTTAGGGGATAATATGAATACTCTATCTTATTGGATAAATAATTATTACTTTATTATTGTTATATTGAAAATATAGTAAATTTTATTGATATTATATTAAGCAAAGAAGTTAATACATATATAATAAAATAACAAAGTAACAACTAATTGCATTGGTAGAGTGGACAAAGAGTGTTGGGGTTCGAATCCTCCTAGCATCAAATTTTTTGATATTTAAAAAAACATGTGAGTGGGATGACATGGAGGCATAACGTGGCGAGCGGGTGATATGGAATCGCAAATAATCGGGTTTCGTTGACATGTCTTGTCCAGCCGGATGACAAGACAAAAAACACCCGTATTTGAGAAATAAGTTTAAAACTACCCTAATTTGACAAATGAGATTTGAAAGTACCCCTCTCACGAAAAAACTCGGATTTTCTTCGACTTTCTAACTATCATCAGGTAGTATATCATTATAAAATATTTTACTTGACTTGTGGAGTTTTCATTAGGAAAGAAATGTCGATAAACAGAATTACTTGTGATATGTAGTTGAAGAAAATGAAGAGCATTTTATTTTAATTTTATATGGAACTTGCACATATGCGACTGAATAGCTCACTCCATAGTGTATCAGTGACGTAAAATATTAAAATAAATAAGCGGAACCGTGGTTATTGGAAGCTAAAAGGCTTTGTGCATGTTTGATAGATATAAGAGTCCATTTACTGACTCTGTTTTTCGACTTATCAGTCTTATCAGCCAACTTTTTAACCAAACATGTAATTTTTGTTTTCGCGCGCTGATCTGTGCAATAATAAGAAAAAGTAAGGTTAAAGTTACTATTTTGGTTGTATTGGCTGAAGTTACTGTAGATGACCATTTTAGCTATTTTTACATACTTCGTATAATTTTTTAATTATTTTAATAATAAAATATATTTTAAAAATAATTTTTTCTTAAATCAGCAGAATCAGCTAATGCAGCCACTTCAGCCAGAAATTCATAAATTTCAGCAGAATCAACCGAATCAGACGATTTTCATGTTACCAAACGGGCTCATATATCGCTAATAATAAGGGGCTATGTTTGCTCAATTCTATTACTTTTGAATTATAGCATCTTTAAGGCAACTATATTTTTTTTTAGAGAGAATTCCCTAACTAGGAGTAAAAAACTTTTGAAATTCCAAAATAAGACTATCATGTTTTTTATTTCCTGAATAGGGGGAATAAATTTCTGCCAAGTTTGGCATTACTAGTCTTTAACACACAACAAGATTCTGAGTTGGTCCCTTTTCGGTCGACGGGGGTCCTTTGGCCGATGAGGGCACCGCTTGGTGGCTTGTGCTTTTTGTTCTTCTGAGTATGTGGGTCCTGGGGCCTAGACCCATATACTCCATCAAAAATATAGTCAACATACCAACATACCTAGGACAAAATTTTAAAAACTTGACAGAATTACTCATATTTAGGGAATAAAAACATAATAGTCCTATTTAGGAATTTCAAAACGTTTTTTCTCCTATTTAGGACAATTTCTATTTTGTTTATTGAGTGACCTGAAGTTCTATAATATAATTGTACTATTTTTTTTATAGACACAGGGCTTCTATCTTATTCTTCTATGATTGATGTTTTTTGCTGATTTAACCTATTTCTATTTTTTTTATAATCCAGGTGTCAGTGCTTGTGCTCTCCTAATCCTGTAGTCTATTGACTACCCTCCAAAGCATCTAGACAGTCAAATCCGGTTATTGGGGACGTTTGCTTTTCGGCGGTTCAGGGCCAAAACGTTAGAAATACCAGCGTTTTCCTTTGTTGGAAAACGGCGGATTGCTCTAATCCGCTAATATCCAAATGGCCCCATTATCACAGTCAGCCTTCGTCGGTATTGGTACCACAGGACGAATCCAGCAGGACTTTCTTTCAACTGAATCCAGAAGGGTCCTACTTCGATTTAACCTATTTCTAGTTGGATATGGAAGTTGGCGAAAGGGTTACAGAGAAACTGTTGTGTGTGGAGCCCACCACCATGGTTTGGCTGCATCATAACGTCAATCATGTGCGTTAGTTCGACTTAACTTCCGGCCGTTGCTGGGATGCCTAAGAGATGTGGCGTCATCCTTTTTGTATACTGGTTACGAGTAGGGGTGGACCGGTTCCGGTTCGGGCCCGGCCGGGCCTCGGTTCAAGAAGGGGAGGCCCGGAACCGGCCCGGGTAACCCCCGGGTCCAGGCCGGGCCGGGCCTCGGTTTAATTTTTTTTTTGGCTTTTCCTAGTTAACCCCCAACCCTCCCCCTCACCCCCAAACCAACCCTAACCACCTCAAATGGCCCAAAATACCCAGCCCAACCCAAAAACTTAAAAAAAAATTCAAAAAAATAAAATAAAATTGGCCCGGCCCGGGCCCGAACCGGCCGGGCCGGTTCACCTTTTGAAGGGCCCGAGCCCGAACCGCCATCCCACCGGGCGGGTTGGCCCGAACCAGGCCCGGAACCGGTTCACCGGTCCGGGCCGGGCCCGCACAGTAGCGGTCCGGGCCGGGCCCACACAGTAGCGGGCCGGTCCGGTTCCGGGCCGGTTGGCCCGGTCCGGTTCCGGGCCGGTTGGCCCGGCCCGAGTTTACCCCTAGTTACGAGTAGGTGGGGTAGGAAGACGCATGCAAGAAACACTTCGAGAGAAATCGAAGTGAAGAAGCCTCCCGGTTGTAGTTTGATAGAGATAAATGACATAGAGGCTATTTGGTAACAATGAAATCGGGTGAATCGGCCGATTCTGGTGAAATTTATGAAATTCTGGTTGAAGTGAATGTATTAGCTGATTCTGCTGATTTATGAAAAAAAAATATTTAAAATATATTTTATTTATATAATAAATAAAACTTTATATGAAAAATAGCTAAAATGGTATCTACAGTAACTTCAACCAATACAGCCAGAAAAGTATCTACAATTTTACTTTTTCTTATTATTACAAAATTCAGCTGGCGAAATCAAAAGTTACGTATTTGATTAAAAAATTAGTTGATAAGTCGAAAAAAGAGTTAAGAAACGGGTTCATAGTTCATGTGCTTTCTGCAGACGATAGAACACATCTAAGTCGTTACCATGTTTGCTCAACTTTTCCATTTAATGGCTATTGGCTAATGTGATGAACTCAAGTAATCGTTCTGCTTTTAGTCCTTCCGAATTATTATCAGGTAGTATCAAACTAAATATTTTACTTAACTTGTGGAGTTTTCATTGGGAATGAAATGTTGAAAAACAGAATTACTTGTGATGTGTAGTTTAAGAAAATGAAGAGCATTATATTTTAATTTGATACGGAACTTGCACATAAACAACTGAATAGTTCACTGATTCACTCCATTGTGACTGGTTAAATTTTAAAATAAATAAGCGGTAATAGTGGTTATTGGAGGCTAAAAGATTCTATAAGGGTGATTTACATACATATAATAATTAATTAATTGGTAAATAGTTATTGTAACTTTCAAGCATGGAGATGCTAACTACATGGGCCTCTTTTGGTTGCTCATAATCTGGGCATCCCATTTCTGTTTTCACTCTTTGGTCATCGACGTATTCTTCTAAAAGATCATAATAATAGTAAAGTTTTTTTTTGAAATATCCTTCTATATCCATCATAGTATTTTTCTCATAATAATGCCAATTGAGATGAGACTCAAACCTGCAACATCATCTTTGTGAGATTAGAGTGATGTAATCAGACTTAGGAGAAAGATAATTTGTATTTTTTAAGCTTTATGTGAGTAATTACTATGGTTATCATGTGCATGCAAAGTTTCATATGATAGAATTCAATAAATTTTAAGTAAACTTTATGAGGTAACCTGGTGGACTTGTTCGATTAATACTTTGTAGCAAAAACTGTGATATGCAATATGAACCCAAATATAAGGGAGAATTTGACTGTGCACCTCACTTTTTGGGTGATATTGGACTTTGCACCCCATTTTAAAAAACCTTTGACTTTGCACCCCATTTTAAAAAACCTTTGACTTTGCACCCTATCATATAACATTTGTGAAGGAAAATTTCAAAATGGGATGCAAAGTCAAAAGATTTTGAAGTGAAATGGGGTGCAAAATCAAAGTTTTTTTTAAAATGGGGTGCAAAGTCCAATATCATCCAAAATGTGGGGTGCAAAGTCAAATTTCCCCCAAATATAATTCATAACATAAGCCTGTCTTATTTATTTAGTTTTCACAATATATATAAACGTACATTTAAGATTTAGACTCTACCGAAAATATATTAGTGGAGTCAAAATAAGGAGCAACTCACTAATCCAGGCATCCAGCCTACGCTATATGACTGATTTCACCTTGGAGTACATCACTCTGAATCATCATTAGATACAATCATCACCACATTATCTCACAAATACAGACATGGGCATATTTGCAATTTAATTGAAGTGCCTTGTAGCATTTTTATTATCATAGTTCATGCGATACATATATCGTTATAATTAGTAATTACCTTCTTTTTTATAATTAAAGAAAAAGATGTGACTATTTTTCTCTTTATAATACTACATATGTAGTTACATTACATATATGTGATTATGATACAACAAATGATTATTGTTGCAACTGACAATCACAAAGACATGTATTTGGGAGTAAATATTTAATAATTGACTGAGGGGTGGAAGTTAATTAATTTGATGGTTTAGAAATATATCTGCGAAGATAATCCAACCGTTCAGGATGTTTGAGCTTCATCATTGCTTTCATCTCGTGCTTCCTTACCATCTCTCTTGAAATATTTAGGTTTCCTGCAATCTCTCCCAAGGTTCTACCGCCTTTACCATCCAGTCCATATCTTTGCCTGATTACAATGCTTTCTTTCGGGTTCATCGAATCAATCTGTTACAAATTATTTGCCATATTGGAAGTCATCACATCTTGTATCAGAAATATGTAAAATGATATTCAAATCATCAATTAGTTATTGCAATATTTGATCTAATACTACGTAGTAAAATAATGATATTTAAGAATGAAGTAGAGCAGGAGGTTGTATCTTTTTATTTGATCTAATAATTTATTATTGTATGCCAAGATGATATCAATATGCACCGATAAATGTAAAATATATAAACCAGCATAAAAAACTTTGACCCAAATTCATCATAAGACGATATTGCACCGTTTTATTGTATGCACTCATGCCACGTAACAAGAATAGTTAATATTGTATAGTGAGTCCACAGGACCACCAAGATTTCAAGGAAGAAATAAAAGAACATACCACATCATCAAGAGCAAGTCTGAGCAGAGCAAGTTGTTGCCTCTTATCAGCATATTCAACAGCATCAGTATCAGCTATTCCGTTGATAAGCTCTTCTTGTGTGATCGGATCCCTTGCATGGAGAGAGGAAACCGGTTTTGATGCTTTCATCACTTCATGATATCTGTTAAGGGAGATTCCTACTCTTTCTGCTATTTCTTCTTCTGTTGGCACTCTATGAAGTGCAAACGATAACTCTAATTTGGCCTTCTGGATTTCAGATCTTACCTGAAATCAAAGGAAAATTACATATATAGTTTCATTGTTTATAATAATCTATTTTTAAATAATGGGTTTTCCACTTCTCCTACAGTCTTAATAAACAAAACTCTTGACAAAAACATGGTTATATGGTTTGCTGTGAAACTATCATAGTCACTGAATAGTAAAAAGAAAAATCACCAATTACTAAAATGACAATCACATTTCTGTCCAAGATCTGATTTTAGATATATACATAGTATTATTCATCATTTCTTTAAATAAACCCATCCGTCACAATACATAAGAGCTAAAGTATGAGTCTCAGCATTAAAATCTAGACAATAAGATCAGAAGATTCATAATATCCGGCGTGAAATGCTTTAACACATTCTCCATGTACTTGAGTCAACTTGACAGATGAATTCCATGAATTAGATTAAGTATTTATAATAGCTGTAGTAGAAAAGCACTCACTGACTCAAGTCCGTAAGGGACTTTAATGAAGCTAGAAAGGGTCATGGAACGTATGATTGTGTGTCTAATCCAAAAGAGTGCATATGTTGAGAGCTGCAACCTTCTTTTTGGTTCAAATCGATCAATGGCTGTAATCAGTCCCTTCACTCCTGCCTGACACATGTCTTCAAACTTCGGACTATTTGCAAACTCTTGAAAATATTTGTTGATGACAAACACAACAAGTCGGAGATTATGCTGCAACATATCCAAATATGTTATCAAATGAACATTTGAAAAAGCTCACCTAAAATGCCACACATGCACTGGTAGTATCTCTCATGGTGGCACAGCCAGGCTTCCCCTTAGCTATGCCCTAACCTCTCATAATGAGAAAATTAGCACAACACACACACACATGTGTGTGTGTGTTTATTGCTATGGACTTCAACTACGTAAATTGGTTGAACTCTAGGATGGCTTAACATGTTCTCATAAGATAGTTGCTCGTTGAAAGTTGAAACGGGCAATCTTGAAAATCATGAGCTTGTTGTTGAGACTTACCTACTTGCTCATTGGAGCTTAGTATGCTTTGTTACCATATTAAGACTTTAATAATGTCACTTGAGACTTACTTGCTCATTGGAGCTTAATATGCTTTGTGATCATCAATAACACAAACCCTAAAGTTTGAGTTCTTACCATTATCTTTATATTTGGTCAATGTCATTTTCTAAGGACTGTCTCCCTTTCTTTTTCAAAACTAGAAATTGTTTCATCATGCACAGAGCAAAAAGTATTTCCTAAAAGAAGACAATAATTTACTTGTGAATTGTGATAGTCACCTTAATCAATTTGTTTCTTGCAGCTTGACCAACTTCCAATGTTTTTGTTAATTGAGCAGTATCCACATTTGTTGCCTCAGCTATTTCAACATTAGAAGGTTCACGTCCCAGAACCTTTTGTAATTTATCCTTAACTTGAAGGATTACCTTAAATTTAAGAAAAGAGAGATCCTCAGCATAAACAATAACTGAAGCAGTACTAGGTTGTATCTAGTTTTTTCAGTATAAGCCATAAGGGCCTGTATGGTAAGGGTTATTTGGCTGAAAAGACTGAATCTAAAAAGAAAAAAGCATTTAGTAACAGCAATTTCAGCCAAATAAGTGAGTGAAAAGCTATATTTGGCGCAAATCTTTATTTTTTTATCCTCACCTTCATTGGCTGCATCAAGTTAAAGAGCCAAGCATGCTCAGATGAAGGAAGCACTGCTGGGATTTTCATTTTCTTCCAACCCATGCCCACCACACCTGTACCAGCAGAATATTCTCTCACAAGTTTATCCCTCTTTTCTTCCTCAGTTTCCTCCTTCAACTTCTTTTTGCATGAAGATGCCACTATTTCACCTTCTTCCTTCATTTTTCTAAGAGCAATCCTCTTATCAAGACTCAAACGTGTCGTTTTCTTCTTCTTTTGACTCGGAGGTTCTGGATTATCTTTGTATAATTTCTCAAATTTGGCAGCTGCTTCATTGTAATCCAGTCCTTCTAGAGTACTTGGTCTCTTTTCATTTTCTTTTGATGTCTCTACAGATAATGGTACTGCTTGATTAGGTGAAACAACTAATGGGGAATGTTTTGGTTTATCGATTTTGGACATCAATACTGATGATCTTTTAAGCGGCCGTAAACGAGATGGAACTCTTCTGCTCAATCCTGGCGGACTCTGTGTTGTAGAGCTCGAGAAAGTCATTACTCCCATTCCAAAACTGTATTTTACAAGGGTTATTGGAACAAAGAACAGTTTTCTAGAACTCTAACTCCACCTGCAACAGTCTTTTTCCACATCACATATAAACACAAAATAATGCCAAAATACTTATAGTAGGAATAAAACTCCATAATCATCATTAACGCCTTATGTAGTGTTAATTTAATAGTAAAATTTAACATATGTGTGGGCAATAAGAACGTTCTAGCCATGAATGAAGATTTTATTAAACCTGGCAATGAGGAGAGTAATCTAAAGTTCTATATAGGATGTTTTACAATTTTGTATTGGTTCTACATGAAATCAATTTCATTCAGCACATTCAACATTTCCAATCGCTAACACAATCCGTAACAACTAATTTCGTACTGAGACGTCTATTTCAACTCATATGATTCCGGACAAGGCAACTTAAAAGTATAATTAGTCATTTTTCAGCTACACATACACCCGAATTATAGTCCAAACAGCAGATTATGCAAATTCGGTTTCTTAATAATAGATCAAAGTTGTACCTCAGAGAGAGGAGAAGAGCTCAGCAGGTCTGCTGAGTTTGAGGTCGCCGGAGATTTAAGTTGCCAGTAGACTCAACCTTCCCACAGATTCTGGATCGGACAGATGGCGGGCAAGTAGACCGTGCTAGTCCGTATACGCAAACATTTCGCAGGCATAATATACATTTTCGAAATTCCGCGGCCACAAGTTAGTTTTTTCCCCTGGCAAATCAAGGGCCACATGAATGGAATCACTTCCACGCTACACGCCAGCACAAGGATAACGTCATGTGACGTGGAGGGTGCCACGCCAGACGAATGATGCCTGACGTGGAGAGCTAAAGTTCGGATCGATGTTTCAGATTTTGGATTGAAAATCAATTCTTTTTGGTGTATTAGTTGGGTGTATACTTGTACGTAGTATATACTAGAATTACGGAGTATACATTTTCCAACAAATATTCTTTCGCTAAAATCAATCACATTAGACTATATATCTAGTTTAGGCTAATATATGACATAAACTTAAATTATTCTCGTATTTTCTTTATCATAAATGAATAAGTGTTATAAACAAATTGTGTATATTGTGAGTTACTCAGTTTTGGTATTTAGGATTTCACGACTTTAAAATGCGTCTACGAGTAAGGATTTCACACTATCTCATGTGCAAGTCTATGAGAACTTCAACTTTACAACAACAACAAAAATATTGGTTCAGGAAAAAAGTAAAGGCACATTCTATGATTTTTTTTGAAATCATAGATCCTATGATTTTTTTCCATTTTAATTAAATAAATCTCACTTTTGTGACACATTCTATGATTTTTATCTACTTCGTCGCCACCCTTCTAACACATTCTATGATTTTTATCTACTTCGTCGCGCTGACACATTCTATTATTTTTTTTCCATTTTAATTAAATAAATCTCACTCTTTTACTTAATCATAAACAGTTTTATTGTTATTTAAATTCAATTCGGATCTGGACGTGCAGATAGAACCATCCCAGTAGGGTGCGTGTTAATTAGAATGAAGTACTAGCTCCGTCCCACTAATATTAGAATGTAAGGGGTAGTGCGACTTTAAGAAAAATGAGTGTATGTGATTGATATTCAAATGATAATCATTCAATATAATTGGTCACATTGGATGATTTAAAAAAGGGTTAATAGCTCTAGAAGTGATAATGAGTAACGAATAAGGATAAGAAGATGAAGCATGTATGTAGGTCAAAAGTCAAAACCATAGTAAGTAAAGAGAACAAATTCAAATAAAAATGGCTTAAGCTCTCAAATCAAAACATTATGAAATTTTTTTATAGAAAAATGGAATTAACTGACATGTATACTGTATAGCACCAAATGGAATTATCCAAACCCTTAATCTTGTGTTAACATTTTTGCTCTATGTTTATCCGTACATATTTAGGCTCTTTACTGTAGAAATAATTGTTTAAAATTTATAGCTAAATAATTGTACCTATCAAAGGTTCGGCCAATACTTAATCACTCAGATTATCAACTAACAATTTGTTAAAGAAAAACTAATCAATATGCCTGATCTCAGGAGAATACAATAAATAAAAACGTTACAAAGTAATTAACTTTATGCTTATATTAATTAATCAGCATACAAACTGGCTAATGATCGATTTTATAGTGAAGAATCGGTGAAATCGTTGTCCTATTGACATATGCAAAAGTATATGAATTAATTAGCTGAATGATTGTTGAACTTGTTGAGCCAGCTCTTCCGCACTCAGTTGGCATTCGATCCCTATCTTCACATACATAAGAATAAAAAAATTAGAATTAGTAAATAATTATGAGATAATAAATAATGTATAACTAAATATTGATAGTAAATTAAACTATGACTTTTTATTTAAAGTGATCATAATAATGACATTAAGTGGTTTAATTATAACCAATTTTTCTCAATAATGACTATGAATGTATATTTACAATAACTTTAATCCCATTTTTATTAATAAATTTTCATTCCAAAGCTTTTCTATTAATAAGTTTTCATTCCATAGCATTTTAGGAAAAACTTTATTAACTAATTTAGTAGTAAAAATTAAATCAAAGAAACCAGCAATTTGTCCTAAGTAGAAGTAAACAGAAGAACTATATATTTATTATTCTAAATATAGAAGTATCATCATAATTGTATTATATGGATGCCTTGATGGTATCATCTTAATGTGAGATAACGTATTATGTATAGTACCATAATGTATTGTGTACTTGTATTTAGTAAAAAAATGTATTATGTATTTAGTTAAAAAAATACTTATTTAGAACTCTCACATAGTTTCACCGACCTTTTGATTTTGCTTGATCTGTTTTCAGTCTCTGATCAGATCAAATCAAACTTAAACAGCAAGACCAGACACCATAGTTATAAAAAATACAGAGACCTTAAAAATACTTAAAAGTTTTATCACTTAAATTTGAAGCTAAAGTTATTTTTTAATTAATCACAAATTTGATAAAATTTTATAGAAGCGAGAGAATAGTGTACTCTTATTTTAAGAAACTTAATTATTACAGTAAAAAAAGAAACTTAATTATTATTATCATAAAATAATGTCGTTTTACCTTAATCGTGAAGGAGTTAAGCATGGTGTGGTCGTTAATGGCGGTGATGCTGACATGGAGGATTTCCAAGGAAAGATTCTCTAATAGAGATATGATCTTGAGGGCTTGACCACGAATATGGGAAGACACTGTCTTCAACACCACGTTAGCCCCGGAGAACTTCACCTCCACCTGTGCTCTTTCCGACCCGGAATTCACGGCAAGCTCGTTGGAAGGCGGTGGCGCCGTCGCCGTCGCCGGCTGAAGTTGGGGCGATACGAGGGTAGCAGACGACGGTGAGGATGTGGGTAAATAATAGGCACCGGGAGAATTCCTATTGGGCGTTGACAGGCCGGGTCGTTGTGGCCTTTGCGGCGTTGTTGGGCTAACAGGATAGCCCATCCCTCTTGGGCTAATGGGATAGCCCATCCCTCTTGGGCTAATGGGATAGCCCATCCCTCTTGGGCTCAATATTGAAGTAGCAGGCTTTAGTGTTCGTGGACTTGGAAGTAAATTGTCACTAAAAGCCCTTCTTTGTTTCTTCGATTCTAGCGATTCAACAATTTGTTGCAACTCCGTTATGTAGTCCACAACACCTCCTATTATTGAAGCTTGATCTCCCTATTCATAAACATAAATTATAATAAACGTAGTATGTATTTATATACTTCGTATAAAATAATGTATACATGTTCCGTAAATAAAAATCACTTCGATACGTTAAATAAGAAGCACTAAAAAGCAAACAGTGCATTTGAAATATCTTTAAACGAGTGTAGAAATAAGAAATTAAAATAACATCATCTGAGGAAATGAAATAATAATGAGACACATAAAGTACTTTAGACTCATATGTATTTTTATATAGAAATTGTTCTAAATAGGACTACAACTTAGAAAAAAATACACCAATAGGACTATACTATCGTATATGTTTTATTTCTAAAATAAGACTTGTTTGATCCTATCATAAATATAAATCTTCCACTATTGAGAGTGAATAAATATCACTCTAGAAAAAAAACAATGATAATCATATACGTGCATTTCATCTATGTTTTAATCATATATATGGAGTTTTCTCCTTAAAAGAGTATCTAATATAATAATTTTGTATATCCTTATAATTACTCATTGGGTATATATATGAAGAATGTTCATTTCCTCATGTGCATAAATTTTTAGCTCATCATTTCAATTCTATATAATTATACAACATTTATATTTGAGAAGTGCTCATTTGGGTCATTTAGATGTACCCATTGGTACAACTGGATGTACCATAAAACAGGTACATTATTGGTCTATTGGATGTCATGACAATTTTGAGAAGCTATCCTCTCTTAAGGTTCACCTTTATGGATTTCAAATCTCATTAAATATAAGAGAAAATTACCTATTTGTAATTTAAGCATTCATAGATTAGTAATATAGTATGCCTCTATATGAGTGTTGTTACCGCATGGATGGTGAAAAAGTAACGCCCAAATAGTTACCATATAAGCAAAACACAACTATCTTGGCCAACTTTAAACACAAACACACTTAAAACTTTTAGTAAAAGAAATGCCCTTTTAATATTTTATTTAATATTTTATGCATTGTGCAGTGACAAAAATTTGAATAGTGCATACGTCGCATGAGAGATAGCTAATTAAAAAACAACAAATAGAATATTTCTCTTCTTATTTGAATTGTCTTGTATGTTTTTGGTAAATTTTTCTCCACAATTTCAAGCACAATGTCTAGATGTAGACATTGTGGTTGACATCGTAGAGAAATACTTACCAGAAACACATAAAACCGTGAAAAGAAGTAGAAAGAAACGTCATAAATTTAATCTTTTGTGTTTGACGTGGCATTTAAGATGTTCGTATATCCTAAAAGAGACAAAATGTTCATGAAAAATAGATGGGGAGTTAATACGTGCATATATAGTATATACCCTTTTGACATAAACAGAAGGCATCAAAGAGCGGAGGACAGAGAGATGCTCATTCATCTGCTTCCTGCGGTTCCTCTCTACATTTACGTGAGACGCCCGAGGTTGCTGCTGATTATCCTCAAAAAGGGCGGTTTTGCGCCGCTTGCAATTCCTCGGCGACGACAAGCCCTCCGTCCCTCGGGGGCTTGTCGTTTCGAAAAAAGCGGCTTTCGTGTCATTTGAAGCGGGGGGGAGGAGGTTGACGAAGTCGGAATAAGCCGAAGCCGAAGGAGGAGGACGAGGAGGAGCAGAAGAGTTGGAATCCAAAGCTTCAAGGATTGAAAAGATGTCATCATCATCTAGAGGTAGAGAAGCTTCATTACTACGAGCTCCCAACTCTGATGAGTAGTCTTCATCAAAGAAACGATCATCGATGTTTTCCATCTTATTATTATTATTGTTATATACGAAGTATATCTTTGTTGTCACGAGAACTATAATGATAGTATGTATACACTATACGCTGGTGATATGATGATCGGCTGATGACAAACTGTTATGGACTGTGTTTCTACCGTTACATGTATCAGTTTTGCTCAGACCGAATTGAATAAATATAATGTACATATTGTACTGTTTAAGACAGGGATCACCAGAAAAAGAGAGAGATAGAATGAGTGGCTGGTTTTGTTTTATGGCAAGTACCGGTGACACTAGTTTACTTTCATGGTAAATTTGGAAAACTCTATTTAGAAACTTTCTAATCACTATGGTTTTTCCATGTTTCCTACATTGTGATGCTCCCTCTCTCCTTTAAAGTTTTAAGCTTTTGGCTTAAAAAAGTCAAAAAGAGTATTTTCAAATGACAGTTTCTGCTTAAATTAAGCACTTAAAAGCTAAAAGCTGGAAGCAGGTGAAAAGGTGCTTTAAATTGCTTTTCACTTTTTCTATTACACAAAAAACGCTTATTTTACCAAACACTACCAACTTTACTTATTCATAATCACTTTTTCCTCAAACACTACTAACTTTTACTATTAAGTGTTTTCTCCAAAATCACTTTAAAAAATCATTTTTTTGAAATAGAAACGATCGCAAACACTCCCGATGAAATGCAAAAACCGTACATACGTTTTTATAAAATTGACACCCATGCAAAATATAATGTATTAATAAAACACTACCTCCGTTCTCTTTTAATTGCAACATTGAACTTTTTGCACTATTCACATATTCTACTTTGACTATATCTTATTTATTAATGTATTATAAAATAAAATTTTAAAAAATATTGTTAAATTCTTCTCGTACTAAATTTTCAAAATCTTAATTTTTTAGTTTTTTATTAATAAGGAATATAAGATATTAATGGTCAAACTTGTGTGTTTGCTAACGTGAAAATTGAACTGTTACGATTAAAAAGAAACGGAGGATGTATGTATTTCTCCTACTTTATGTTGTACGGAGTAACTTTTAGTAGATAATCACACTACTAATCTTTTGCTTGAGGAATACCCTTTAATTATAGGAGATCCAATTTAAAACCTCTTTTGATATGTAGATCACTTATATATATTATAGAGAGAATTCCCTAAATATGAGTAAAAAAAGTTTTGAAATTCCAAAATAGGAGTATCATATTTTTTATTTCTTGAATACGAGTAAATTTCTGCCATGTTTGGCATTACTAGGCTTTAAAATGGCATTTGGAATAACATGACATTTTTTCCCAAACTTGGTAGATTACTCCTATTCAGGAAATAAAAAAACATGATACCCCTATTTTGGAATTTCAAAACGTTTTTGCTCCTATTTAGAGCTATTTCTATATATTATACACATACATACTTCATACACATGCGCCACACATATATACTATTATTTGATAATATATCGTGCATTCGTGCTTATGTTGATATACTAGGTACCGTACTCAAGCTTATTTTTAAAGTAATTCCCTAATATTATAAAAACAAGTTATTTGGTTTAAATTTGAGGTGTGGCACTTTTAATGTGTTAATATATATAGGCCAATGGCCTGAAATAAACTTTTACTCTCTCCTTCCCTTAAAACTTTATTATCTTTCCTTTTTGGAACGTTCCCAAAATTTTTGTCATTTTCCCTTTTAATCAATTATTTTATGATTTATGTTATTTTTCTCTCCTCTGCACAAATCTCAACCACACAGTTTTTACTTTATTATTCTTCGTGCCGGTCAATTTTGGCAAATTTTCAGGGACATGTAGTATTTTTTAAAAAACGTAAACAGACTACAGAGTAATTAATGTCCTGACAAAACAATTTGCCCATATATTCTCTAAATTGATCTAATACGGAGTAATATATTTCCTTTATGGTCCCTATAAAATTGTCTCATGCTAAATTTGATTGAATTCGTGTGATTTTAAATCATTCTTAATTATTTTTTTCTAACTTTATCAACTAAATATAAACAATATGAATCCACGTTTTTAATAGTACTACCTCCGTCCCAAATTGATTTGCAAATTTGACTTTTTTTGGTCAAACGATTTCATTTTATTTGCTTAATTAGGATGTCAATTTTTAATTATTTTCTTATTTGGAGTTTGCAACTTTGAAGAGATTTTAATGTAGTTTATGAATATGTAAATTTTAATTATTAAAAATTGAGTTATTTATCAGTAGGGAGGATTGCCTTTTATAATTGGTTGACTAAAAAATATTGATTTTGCAAAACAATTTGGGAGGGGAGTATGTTTCAAGTGATAGTGGGCGATCTCGATTAGTTCGTTCGTTTATAGTGTTTAATTCATTAATTAAGAGGTAGCTAGACCCAGATTCAATTCTCACAACTACAATAATATTTGGTCGTCATTAAGTGATTCCATCCCTATAAGTACGAGTGGTATACGGCTCTACATTCTATTGAGTGGTTATTATAGTTCAATTAATTCTCATAGCAAATTGTCCGGCCCTTAGGATTATATATATTATAGTTCAATAATTAAGCCTTGGCCGGGATGGGATGAATCTGTGGTGTGGTGACTGTACATATTTATATATAATGAACATCGATCGGCCGGTTAGTGGGGATATTAATTACAAGAGTGCTTGATGTATACACCCTTATACACATCATGTTTGTGAAGATTTTTTTTTGTCTGTGAATCCGGTTCACAGACAATATTTTGTTTGTGCAAAACATTGTCTGTGAATCGATGTTCACAGACAAAAAGAAAACCTTTCCCAAACATAGGTGTATACAAAAGTGTGTATAAAAGTGTACTACAAAAGACTTTTTTGTATTAACATTCCATGCATGAGAATGATCAGAGAAGGCAGTAGTTATGGTACACGGAAAGCAAGGAATTAAGGTTTATATGCTACAAAAAGCACAAAATTCCGGGCGTTAAGAAGAATTGAAGCCATTATACATTTCCGGGCACAAAATTCATTTATGCTACACAGAATACAAGGTAGCTAGCTAGGTATCTGCGGGCTCTGAGATTATACATTGCAGAAGCTGTGAAGCTGATCAGATAGATGACGAAATAATCTGATCGAACTGATGATGAAACCTTAGCTTTATGTTATGTACAGAGCATTGAAGGAGCTGGCTGCTGCTGCTGCGGCGGCCTGGCCTTTAATTTCTATGCGCAGACACGCCGTTTCCGTGCCTTTAATCAATTTAAACCTCGCTCTCTCTAATTTCAAACAAACTAAATGCTAATTAAGCTAGCGATTAGTATGTAATACTCCCTCCGTTCCGTTGGAATGTTCCCGCTTTCCTTTTTTGAATGTCCCGTTGGAAGGTTCTCATTTCCCTAAACGGAAAGTTATCATGCATCAAAACATGGTCAAACAGTGCAAAACCGTGTCGAAACAGTGCCAAACAGTGTCAAAACAGTAAAATTTACCCCCTGGTAAGTTTATTTCCTTAATATGTGTAGGTCAAATCGGGAATATTCCAACGGAACGGAGGGAGTGTAATTAATGTTTTATGTTGAATACTTGAAATGTACATAGGTGGAAGTGTGCATTGGAACTGGAGGTCTGGAACCATAACAACACTTCTCGATGATATATATACTCTCCTTTCCTTTCCGTCAAGATTGTCTCACTAAAATTGTCTCATAATCAATTTGGTAATATGTGTGTTTCTAAATCATTCTTTCTTATTTTATCAATATAAACCACATAAACTCATTTTTCTTAATAACAGTGACACTTCCTCATGTCTCATTGTTAGTGATATAGAGGTAGTACTGCCTGATATAGTACGTACTATCATATTAACAAGTACCAAACTAGACTAAAAAATTGTGTAACTAAAACCATGTTTAACGTTACAAAAGTATATTTGGACAATTGGACACGAGGCATATCTACGGTCGGGTCGGTCGGCAGGGGTGACTCGCGCCCTCTAACGGCAACAATTTTGTATGCTCCGTATATGATTATGGTCTCTCTTTAAAAAGTTACTACGTTTATTTGCAAAAAAAAGTTACTACGCTTGAATCTCATAAGAGTGTGATTAATGAAATCATATATATTTGTTGACTTCTAAAAATGCCCTTTTTAAGAGACGCATATGATGTATTTATATGGTGAAGTAAAATTGCGTTGTGACATACACAAAATAATACGTAGAGAATAATTATTAGCAATAAATTAAATAAAATAACTGTATCTGAATGATGTGATATCAATTTAAGTCATCCGTTTTGATGATAAAAAAAAAGTTTTGTCATTTTCTCTTTATGGTAATTATTGAATGGTTTTTGTTTTTCTCTTTTCTTTACACATATTCCAGTTACACAATATTTACTCTTATTTCAGGTGCAAATTTGCAACTTGAAATGTTCAATGGAATGAAAATAATACTTCGTACATGTTACTATATACCAATTCGTATACTTCCCCGCCTCTAAATAAAAATCTCACTTTCCTTTTCAGTCCATCCATTAAAAATGTCGTCTTTCCTTATTTAGTAAACAAAATAGTGTCAAACAGTTCTAAACCGTGTCGATCAAACAGTGCCAGTTTTTTAATTTGTGTGTAAAACAAAGTGACACATGAGTATTTGAAATGTGTTAAAGGTCGCCTGTCAAGGTCTCGCTCTCAACAAAATTTTAAGCAGCGCCACTTTTTTAGTCACAGTTTCACTACAAATAATCTGTCTAGATTCTAGCCAACAGTATTTACAATTACAAAATTAAATACAAAAAGAGGAGAGCTTTAAATATGGGATGTGGGAGTATCAAATCAGGGACACACTAAGAAACTGGTGGGTATTGGGAAGGAGAAGTAAAGTGTGATAAGGAGTGGCGGGGGAGAAGATGAGTAAATGCATACACAAGTGGGGTTTGGGGTGTGCAAATATGAGAGTCCGTTTTTGTGATAATCCACGACATGATATGAGATGAGATGATAACACATAGAAAGACAAATTTTAATTTCATCCCCATTCATTCATTACCATCCCCAACAACCACCCTTTCACTCTCACGTACCATGCATGCATTTCACCAAGGCATCATAATAAAAGGTACTAGGCTACCCCTTTGGCATTAAACCTCCATGGAAAATCTAAGAGAAATGGTAGGTTCTATCTCGGAATATGTAATACTTGAGATTTAATTTAAATGGAGTAATAGTACTACTCATATCAACAGAGGTGCATCTCCTTTTAAGGGAGCTCATCACCCAAGAACTTCAAAGTTAAACGTGTTCGCACAGGAGTAATCTTGGGATGAGTGACCCTCTAGTAAGTTTCTCAGGGCGCGCATGAGTGAGGATAAAGTGCGCGGTAAAGACTCGTGGTGATTTGTGAGAACAGTACTAGAGGTCTGGAGTAACTACCTCGGGTCCCGTGTGGCGGAGTTTTGCAGAGTAAAAGTCATCTTTATTGCATTAGACAAAGTGCGCACGGTAAAGGCTTGTGGTGGTTTGTGAGGACAGTACTAGAGGTCCGGGGTAACTACCTCGGTTCCTGTGGGGGCGGGATGTTACAGAGTAAAAGTAATCTTTATTGCATTTTACATCTGAGATTAGCTTAAAAAGATTAATAGTACTATTCATACGAATAAAGGTTCATCTTCTTTTAAAAGAGTTCATCTTCTAAGAACCTTGAAGTTAAGTGTGTTTGTAAGGAAGTAATCTTAGGATAGGTGATGGATCCCCTGGGAAGTTCTCTGAGCGCGCACGAGCTAAGATAAAGTACGTGGTAATTAAAAGTCTCGGGTTTGGAACGCATCCAAAAGTAACGATCTTGGCTCCTGCGAGGTCGGGTGTTACATTGCACATTTAGGGGCCCATTCAAAAATAGGGTTTAATATGAGTAATTTGTTCTTATAAAGAAAAAAACACACACATGTACCCCCAAAGGAGTAACTTGCTTCTATAAAGATAGAAAAGCATTCATGCAGTTTTTTTCTATTGTTTTACCGATTAGCTAGGAGGCGTTACTTTGAATTGCATATATAAGCTCGAGCTCAATTCCTATCGTTATTAAGTAATTTTAATTAATGAGTTTTGAATTCAAATAAGAGCTAGTTCAGTTCGAGTGTATATAGCATTCTTATGATAAAAATTTTAGAATATGCTCCCATTATGAGTTACTATTTTAGAAAGAAAATTATGATCTTATGTACATAGTATATACTTTCGTCATGTTTTTGTCCTGTTTTTTTTTTTTTTTAAAAAAAACTCTACAATTTTCCACTTATTGAGGATTTCTATAAATAGCCTACCCCTGTATTGATCTCTTACTTTATTATTTGTAATACTTCGACTTTTGCATTGTCACCATTCAAATACTTTACTTTGACTACTTTGTTTATAATATATTAGAAGATTTACATTTCGAAAAGTATTGTTACATTATTATCCATGCAAGATTTCACGATATGATTTTTTATGGTTCTTATTAATACTCCCTCCGGTCCTAAATAAACTTGACACTTTGACTTCACACAAATTAAGAAAATAAATTTGACTTTACTGTAGAGTACACTGTTGTGACACTGTTTGACACTGTTTTGCACTGTTTTGGTGTAGATAATTTGCCAAATAAGGAAGGGAGAAGAAGTGTGAAGTTTATTTTGGACATACCCAAAAAGGAAAGTGTGAAATTTATTTAGGACCGAAGGGAGTATCTAACTAAATATGTTATTGACAAAAGTTATACGTTGATATATACGGAAAAAATACTCCCTCCGGTTCTAAATAAAGTTCACACTTTTCTTTTTGGGCCGGTCTATAATAAATTTCACACTTCTTCTCCCTTCCTTATTTGGCAAATTATCTACATTAAAACAGTGCAAAACAGTGTCAAATAGTGTCGAATAGTGTCACAACAGTGTACTCTACAGTAAAGTCAAATTTATTTCCTTAATTTGTGTGAAGTCAAACACGTAATTTTATTTAGGACCAGAAGGAATATAGCAACTAAGTGACAGTCGACAGATAAGTACAAGTTGACATTTATTTTTTGTAAACCCAGGGGCGGACCCAGGAAAGTCATTTTGGGGGGGGCGAAAATATTTTTGGGGTGGTTCAAAATACTTTTTGGAAGAGCAAAAATTATTTTTCGGATATATATACACTAAAAAATTTTTTGTTACTGTGTAAACCGTAAACGTGATTATTAACGAATCGGCCATTTAGGTAACATAATTGCGAGCACATGCCTATATTGCCATTAACTAGTCTGGACTCTGGACGGATAAGATCGGGAAGGTGGTACAAAAATCAAGGCATTTGAAATTGTAACGTTAATGAATTGTGATTCAAAAGAAGAGTAAGCTACTAAGATCTGATCTGATCTTGTTGGATTTGGGACTGAAAATAGTCCCAAAAAAACATCCTAAGCTGGAATTCTATTAGGAATTCTATCCAAGTCTTTCATTAAAACAAATGACATTCTCGCTCATCTGGTTGTGAGGTTACCGTGCCTAGTGAGAGGTCTCGAGTTCGAAATTCGCTAGGCACATAAGGGTTTGAAACTCAATGGAGTGAATTTCAGCCCTGATTACTCTAGGCCCCCAGACCCCCTCCCTGAGACCCTCTGGAGTAAAAAAAATCTAGATGGAATGCTTTGGGGTAAATTAATAAACTTCAAAACACGTGAGAGGCAAATGGAAATTAAATCTCCTACCCGCACGGGTAGCTCAGTTGGTCGAGTGGTGGGAAAATTGGATCAAGTGACCAAGGTTCGAAACCCGCAGCGACCGTGTAGAGGTTACAGAACCTGAAATAAGGTTGGACCTCTGGTGCGCACGTGTATAAGGCCTACCATCGCTTTGCTGACTGAGTCACCGTGATTAACCTCTCCACCATCTTGTCGGGTCGGGTGGGGGCTTTGGGGTTTGGCATTCAACCTTTTAGACCAAGAAATAAAATCTCCATTACGGGGAACCGGCCCCGGACCCTTCCCAACTTTTGCATGATACATATCACATATAGGGTTAGCTGGTTGGGTTTAGTTCAATGAGTTTAATTTTGATTCACACGCACATGTCATGAACAACTCAATTGATCACATGAGTGAAATTTGAAACAAATGACACAAGATTGAGTCTCGTTAGCGGCGCACAGTTACCTCTCAATATAAGGGATTCGTTGTGCACAACGGCCATTGATCTAGTCTATGTGTTTACCTGAATTGTCATGATTTATAATAATCCTTCATTATGCTCTGTCAAGAAAGAGCATGAGGGATCCTTGGAATTAGGGATTCAAGCTTTTGGAACAAGTTAAATTTCAATTCAAAACCAAACATTGAACCCGTACAAAAAAAACAACTAGATTGTGTGTTATCTTTTTATTTCACACTAGATTTTTGTTGGTTTAGTTAGTTTCTTTAAGTTTCAGCTCTTCTTTATTTGCTTACAAGAAAACAATTTGCATTTGATTGGAAACAAATAAAGTTATTGAAAAAAAACCTACGCTACACTTATTGCAGTATAAGGACATGAAGGAAATGAAAAAAAAAAGGTTAAAGGGTAAAATAGGTCCATGTACCCATTCGAAATGCTCAATTCACCACCTGAACTCTAAAAAGCTCCACAATTCACCCCTTGAACTCTGCAAAAAGTTCAAATCTCATTTTTTGCAAGTAAAAGTCCTGTCACTGCCACATCACCTGGTTAGATGCCAACCGTGCATCTCACATGGTAATTTTAAGGGGTCAAATAGGTCCCTGAACCTGACAAAGTTGTTCAATTCGCTCCCTCAACCGTTAAGAAGTTTAAGAATTGCAAAAAGTAAATAAGACATTAAAAAATAGAAAATACAAATATGAAATAAGTTACAAGTCAAAAGTATAAAATAAACTTAAATAAATTTATTAAAACTATTTTGATATTTTAAATCTATTTTTTTAAAATAAAGAACACATATTTTTAGTAATCAAAATTAAATTTGTATTTTGTGTATTATATGAAATAATTGGTATTAAAAAAACATATTTTAGGTTTTGTATTTTACAATTTATGTTATGTTTATATTTTAGAGTTGTATTTTTCATTTGATAGTGTTTAATATTCTTATTGTGTTTTAGATTTATATGTAAAATTACACACACACACACATGCATATAAGTATATATACTTCGTATTATTTTATTCTAGAATTATATACTATACTTCATACTAATTATATACACCATAAAAAAGTTTATACTATATAAAAAGTATAATATGAAAATAGTTATTACATATTTATATTTTTATATTATGTATTTAAAAATAATTTATTTTCGTTATATTTTTTAAAAATTTAATTTAAATGAAAATAGAAATATTTTCTTATTATATTATAAATAGACGTCTATATTTTATATTATGAACTTGTATATTTTGTATCTTATTTTCTATTTTTAATTTGTTAATTTTTTAATAAAAATTTTGACACTTTTTAACAGTTGAGGGGCGAATTGAACAACTCTGTTGCATTCAGGGGCCTATTTGACCCCTCAAATTGCCACGTGGGATGCATGTTGGGCATCTGATCAGGTGATGTGACAGTGAACATACTTTTACCTGCAAAAAAAGATATTTGAACATTTTTGTTGAGTTCAGAGAGCGAATTGAAGCTTTGAGAGTTCAAAGATGTGTTTTATATGTTTTTGTCCATATTTTATTTCACGACCCAAGCATACATATGATTTTGGCAAAATGCTGCAGAAAAATCACACTAATGCTTTAATAGTACTACGTAGTATTTAGTACTGAAAAGAGAAGGTATTGCTTGAAGCTTTATCAAGTTCACTTTCAGTTACAAGGACTAACAAAACAAAGGCACATAACCGCACATTTGCTAAGGTTATTTGGATGTAAAAACTAGAAATTAAAGTTTTCCAAAAGAAAAAGCGTTTGGTAACATGTCTATACCTACCATATTTTTGTTGATTCTGCTGATAAGCTGACAGAAAAAAACCATCACACAACTTGATCTAATGGGACAAACCTTAAATGGTTTAATGCAGCAACTCCTTGTGTAAACACAAATGCCAAATATGTCATTACTCCGTATCTGGAACATCTAGATAATAGCATTAATGAGAGTGGGGGACAAAATTCTAAAACAATGAAGTTAATATGAAGGGTCCCCAAACTGGCATTTATATCTCACAAAATCTAAAACAGCATTAAAGAAGGCCATGAAATGTATATGAGCAAAGGAAAGACATTACTCGGACCAAACACCACAAATTTCAACTTTCCTCGCTCCTTTTAACTTTTTCTTATCAAAGTTCATTCTGGGAGGGAAGCTAATAGAGCAGAAACTATATGCAAAGACCCCGTCACTAACACAACCCGGGAAGGGTTTCCCTCACTTTCATTCAGAATCTGAGATCCAACTCTTACAGCTGCCATTAATGGCTTCTCAGCAAGTAATATTTCTCTAGCCTTTCCAGAATGTGTTGACTGAGTCTCGGAAAATTTGCATTCTGCATATCCGTTACCAAGAACGTTAATACCCATTTCCTGTGAAGCTTTTAACCAAACATCTTTCAGATAAGATGCTGAAGTGATTCGAGATTTGTCCCCAGCGATGTTAACTTCCGTAAAAAATACAGCTTCCAAACTATTCACTATAATCAGAAAGAGAAAATTTTGATTACAGTACGTAGTAATTCATATGTTCACAAAAAAACATAAATAAAACAACAAAAATGATTCATCCAAAAACATAATGCATGGTTTCACTTCTTTTGAATCACATCATTCATCATTGTAAGATTGTTAAATACTCCGTATAAAAATTGTAAAGATGTTATTAGATTCAGAGTAATAAATAAGGCTTTTTATAAAATGTGTGCATGTCCTAAATGTCATTTTAAATATTACGGAGTATATGCTAACAACAAACAACTACTTTTATCAAACACTTATTTTCAATCCTCTAACCGGATTAGCAGCTCAAAATAACTAACACAACCGACTATTTGAGAGCAACCAATTGCTCAACAAGACCAAAGTCAACAGGAGGGACTGTAGATATCATACTAATTAAAAACGCTACATAGAAATTTTTACGTCTAAAATATTCTTAAGGAAAAAGGTTGTTGGCACTTAAAATCCTAAAGGTGCTCCTCACAATGAAGAACACTAAGGAGGGATTTTGTTTTGTAGTGTTAATGAAGCTATTTAACAAGGATGATGAGCAGATAACACAGACAAAGATTATTTATAAGAACAGGTTTCCCATAAATAAACAGAACACAAGTAAAACCTGAAATTAACTCTCTTGCAAACCCGAGATGATCTTTGTCGCTTGCCATAGCCAATACCAGAATTAATATTCCCTTTGGAAATATCAACCTCACTGTCTCAGCCAATGATCTGGCTGATTCCTTCGTATGTGCTGAAAATCATTTATGATCTGAACTTACAAGCCTTAAAGTTATAGTTCCTTTAGGATCTGTTTATATGAAAATTGTTAGGAAAATATGTGGGGTGGGGGTGGATTGCCTCAAATCCAATCTATTAATTTTATACATTTGTTAAAGTTCATTAATATCTCTAGTACTAGTATTATACAATGACTAAGAGAAATCTAAATATATGTAAAATCGTTTAAAAGGTTTTTATCAAATTTAATTTTCATTTGTACTTTCCAAGGCAAAACCAAACATGAAAAACCCATTTTCCTTATTCTTATTTTTTTAGGAAAAGTAACTTTAAATAATACCAACTATCTTCCATGAACCAAGAATAATACGTATTTTAGAAATAACTATTAATAATACCAACTATTTAAATATATATCAAAAGCGATATAAAGCAAATTTTTACTAAAAACTCAATCATTTAACTCATAAAAAAACTAATGTCAAATATCAAATAAGTGATCGTATTTACAAATATCATTTATTTGATGGTTTAATATTAGTTTTTGATGTCTTAAATGACCGGATTTCTTATAGAAAAGTGACTACATATTATTTTTGTTACACATTCAAATAGTTGGTATTATTAAAAGGTTATTTCTAAAGTACGTATTATCCTTGGTTCATAGAAGACAGTGGTATTATTTAAAGTCATTTCCCCTTTTTTTATTATAATTTTCCAGACCGTAACGGCGTAACCATTTTCCATGTTTCTAACAGATCCTCAATAAGTCAATATAGAACTATGCAATAGAGTTCACACATATGCATACAAGCATTATCTCCTCGAGCAGTAATCAAGACATCAAGGTCTAACCTCCGTCTAGCATTACATTTATATGAGGAGGTAGTCCTAGCCTTTCAGTTTCTTTTGTAGTTAAAAGTTGAGTTCTGCCCGGCAAAACTGCACTTTCTAGACCAGCATGAATAGATGCATCAGACAACCTCCATCCTAAAATGCCAATCCAAAAAAAGATTAATTTTTTTCCAAGGTTAAGCCAAAGCTCCAAACATAAATAAAAACTTTCCTTAGCACTTTTCCAATTTCCTAAGTCGAAATATATCCTAAGAATATGTTTGGATGCTGCAGCATTCCAAGGAAATCAAATATAAGGTCAAGAAAAGTTGATTTCTTGTGCTTGGTTTTACATCCGAAAATGCAAAAGGAAAATGAAATATGATTAATATGGTATAAAAATTACATATGTTTAGATTCCTTATTCTATTACTATTTACTAATAGGAATAAATAAATAATATGACCTAGAACTTCAAACAAAGTAAAATATAAGTTTATTGAGTATGAACTGATGTTTTATTTTTTCACATTTTTTATTTCCTTTCAAATTTCTCCAACATTTTCATTACTGTTACCTATTTTCTTTTCTAACACTTCCCGAATTCCAAACACTTTTTTCCTAACACTTTTTTCCTTTCCAAATCATAATCCGGGATCCAAACATACCACAAACAAGAGGATTCAGATTGTAGCAAAGGAAGTACCAGCAAAAACAAAGCTAACCTTTATTATGAAGGCATAGCGCTGCACATACAGCTGTTGTTGCATTCCTAAGCTGGTGGGACCCAAGCATGCGTAGCCTCACATTAAATAACGCTATTGACTGAGCAAAAATAACAAATCTTGTTTAGATAAATAAAAAGACCATTCTTGCAAGAAATATTAACGTTTAAATAAACCCACACCAGCAAAAGGTCTCTATCAATCTGAAGCACAATGTCACAAACTTGGTATGGTATGCCACATATTTGATGGAAGCCTTTGAGAGAACTCTTATTTCCTCCATCAGAAGCCGAAACCACAGGTGAAGAAACACATTCCGCTTTATAACGGAGAATTCGCTCAATGTGTGGAAGGAATGGGCCACCTAGAACTAACTGAAGTACTCAGAATTTAAAAACAGAACCAATGGTCAAATCAGTAATTGTACAAGTGTGAGAAAAACTGTGAAAATAAAAGGTTTATGTAAGGGAGAGCCACCTAACTGGATGGCCACCTTTGACTATTCCAGATTTTGAAAGTGCAATACTTTCTAAAGAACCCCCTAAAGCATCCAGGTGTTCCTCGCCAATTGTCGTTATGATTGATGCCGCAAGATTAGAGGCGCTAATTACATTTGTAGCATCTCTTGCACCACCCAATCCAGCCTGCAAATCATTTATACCTATATTAGCATCACGATGTTCAACTCCTACTTCAATGAAAAGGACAAGGAGAGAAGCACAAAGGGAAATACAGTGAAACCTCCACAACTGCAATTTCTACATTCTCTTGAGAAAATAGGGAGAAAGCAATAGCGGTGAAAATCTGGGAATTCAATACCAAACACGATTTTAAATGTCATCATCATCAACATCAACACCAGCATGTTATAAACGGGCAAGACACCCTAATAATCAATATCATACCTCAAAATGACTAAGACGTCCGTTTTCAAGTTCCACCGCTCTCTCAAGATCTCTCCTCACCCTTTGGAAGTGATGATTCAATACCTCTGCAGATACTGGTTCACCATGTCTTCCCAAGGTTATACGTTCCCTAATAGTTTTTATATGCGGACTGTCCAAAAATATTCCCATGTTCATTACAAGACCAAAGACAAAAGTTTATTTGAGCTAACAAGATCTAAAAGCTTTTTACTCAAGTGTGAATTAAGATGGTAAAACAATTGAATACCTAGTATAGCAACCTACAGAGTAGCCTTCTGCTCTTAATATGCTGGAGAGAAATGCAGAAGTTGATCCTTTTCCTTTAGTACCCGCAATATGAACAGCCTGTTATAATATCCAATGTGAAGGTCAGTATGGGTAATGTGAAGACTTGCTCTATATCTCAAAAAATATAATGTTTCTAATTATGAACAAACGGTGATTGAACATGATGACCTGATATGGTATACTATCAATTTGTTTTTATCTCAAATATATATCAAGATATAGAGTATCCCCTCCGTAGTCCTCTTAACTCCTTCATCTTAAGTGACCCTGTAGGCCCGTCTGAATGGAAGGTTTTGGACACCTTAGTCTATATCTTGAAATTCAGAATGTTGATAACTTGATATACAGGTAAAAGTTGATTGAAAGGTAATGCGATCACATTTTATTTTGTAGCGATGTCCCAACATAAAATTTCAAGGATTTTAAAGATTTATAGAGCCTATGAATTTTAATGGATATACACCTACACTATCAAATTTCAATAGAATTCTATGAAATTCCCAAGAACCCGAGAGCAAGTGGTTGAACTTTGGAAGGTAAGATTAATTAATTTTATTAAAATCCAAACAGACCCTAAGACATTTTAACCAGATGACTAAGCCTACTAAACGTTTTATGCATGCATTGATCAAATCCAACTCATATACTCGAATCCATGATAAAAACTCTATACCAAACTTACTGTTCACAAGTCTCCTTTTAAAAAATTGAAGATAAAGACATAACAAGCAGAGGCTGCAGAGCAATACAATTTACTCCGTATATGAGAACCCCATAATTAACTTTTTCGTAAATGAATTTATGCAGCTACTAAGCACTAGAAAATAAATACAACCAGAAGAGACAGACCTTGAATGTGAAATGAGGGTTACCCAGAAGCGCCATTAGGCGCCTCATTCTACCAAGATCAAACCCATCCTCAGAATCTGTTCCTGCACCTTTGGGTACGCCTACTTTCTCATAGTTCTTGAGGTTGTCTATGAAATCCATCATTTCCTTCAGTTTGGGATCCTCTCTTGACATGGTTGACAAGGCTTGACAACGAAAGGGGTAGACTTCTCTAATGACAGAAGAAATTAGACTGCTTCTGTTTCTTTTAATTGAATGAGTGAGACCACTGACAGTGCTTAAGGCTCTCATTTTTACACTCGTATTTTTGTAGCCTTGAAGCTCCTGAGTTTGTTGGTTGATTTCCCACCCATGCAACTCGAAAAGTTCATCAAGAAGATGTTCCACTCATATTTTTGTAGCCCTTAAGCTCATGAATAACTAAATTCATTGGTTGATTTCCCACCCATTCAACTGGTAAGTTCATTGAGAAGATGTACGCCAGTATGACAAATGGGCACACGAAGATACATAAGCAGATCTAGCATTCCAATCTAGTGGGATATATATAAATACATAATTACTTCAATTACAAAAAAAAAGTAAAATAAAAAAAATAAATATTACAAATGTTTTACATGAACTAGAGTTATCATCAAAGTCAAATAGAAAAAACATATCACCAATCACAATTGTCATAGACCAAAAGAGCCATTTTAATGAAAACGGAACCTCTAAAAGAGTTAGCTTTTGAGCCGTATGAGGTAGGAAACTCTCAAATACAGTTCTAAGGGAAGAAGTTTACCGACGTATTCCGAGCATGACATCATATTGAACATAGAGCCTGGGGTGTGAAATCCCAAGAATAAACTAGCCCAACTTAAATGAGATATGATTGCCTCTTTATGATCTAACATTTGAATTGTCAAGAAGATATCTTTCTCCACATAAACAAAAACCCTATCGTTGATCCAGTCATCACTCATTCCAGTGCTTAATCTATTCCTAGTTGCCTGGAGAGGCACGCTCATGACTCCCTAAGAATCATATGTGTCCCTCTTTCAATCACTCTCACTACCAGATTAATGATCAATTTAGTCAATTAATTTTGCTCCTCATCTTGTATACCATTTCTCCCAACCCCATTTTTTCTAATGTCCTTGAAAAGTTAAACAAATCAAGTAACTAACACAATTTTATTCACTAATTAATTATATACATTCCAGCAATCAATATCATCTCTTGCGAATTCTGGCACCAAATGAACCAAGTTTGACTTCTTTTTAATATGACAGTGGATGGTCACTTGGTCTATGGCATTCATTTTCGATTATTCATTTCATTTTCCTCCTGTGATTATTAATTTGATTTAGAAATTTCTTTGTTTGAATAAAAAAACAAAAATTCAATTAAATTAAGTAATTTTAGCCACAAAAGAAACACCAAGCTAAAATCTTCTCGGCGTTTACCTGGTTCGGCGGGTATCCTGCTATTCTGCGGACAGCGGAGGAAGTTGGAAATGGGCACAGGTGCGGTGGGTTGGTCGCATCCCTGTAGCTAGTCCCTCGTTGTGACTGTCAAAAGGAAGAGCAGAGTTGTTGCTGAGAATGATCGATTTCGTCAACAAAAAACAGTAAAACCAGCAACAAGATCGATTGCAGATCGACGAAGACCACCAGGGCTTGGCACCGCCGCCGTCAAACTAGACCCAGACGGAAAATAAAAAAATTGCAGAAAAATCGATGAGCTCGAGGAAGAAACAGAGGGCGAGAGACAAATCACCGTCCACCGCTCATCGGTTACCGCTGCGAGTCGTCACTCTATCGCCGTTCATAGCCGCTGCTGGCTGCTGGCCTGCGGCTGCTTGCACGTTGTCGCCCAGCTCTTTGTCAGTCTGTTAAGCGAACTTGCAACCAGACTTGCTGAGTTGGTGTTTCAGCACGATTAAAATTAATTAGAAGGGTAAACCGTAAAATTGGATCAATGGTCCCAAATAAAAGTATGTATACCTACTCCTATTTAGGAATTTAAACACCATTTTAGTCATTTAGGACAAAAACTCTGAAAAAAATGTTTCTTTTGCTGGAGTCTTATACTCTTTCTCCAGCATAGTAGCTTGCATTGTCTTCCAGCTGTGTGCTCCTTGCATTGGTGAATGAGGGGGACAGTGTCTAAAAGAGTTAGCATCAGGCAAGTGGGCAACTTCAGCTGAGTGAATAAGACGGAGAAACTCCCCCACAATACTCCTCCCACAGTTCTCCTAGGGCCGGCAGTTTAAACCTAAAAACGAACCGAAAAAATTCGAACCGAACAATAAAAAAACCGAATCGAAACCGAACGAACATGAACGGGACCCGAAAGTCGGGACCCGACAATGAATTGGTTTAATCACGGTTTTTAGGTTTATAATCGGTTCAAACCGAACCAATTTTATTAAGAGGTGTTTATTTATTTATTCTGCAGCTACGTTTATATTAGATACGGAGTACATTAAAAGTCTCGTTATTTACAAGTTGTAGGCGTGGTTCAGTGGTTTAGCATAGGGTTGACTTTCTGCGTGCTTGTTTTTTAACCAAGGATCGATTCCCGTTTTACATCTTCCTTTCAATTTATTTTTCAGAATCCTTTTAAACTTTCCTACACCGGATGAAACAGAGGAGTTACTCCCAATACATCCATATATATCTGAGCCTTGTGCCCAAACAAAAAATTTGGTTTATCAACAAACCAAAAAACCAACCCGGAAATTCGGGTTCCGATGACTAGGGTCTGAAGTTGATTGCGCGTTATAGAATTTGAGAAACCGAATTTTCGGTTTGGTTCGAAATATTTCTATTTCGGTTCGGTTCCCGCACCGAATCCACCCCTAGTTCTCCCTATTCATTGGCCCTATTTTGGAGGACAAAACTTCAAATTTGAGATTTTCACCTCTCATTGTCGTTAGTCTTGGATAGTGTTTGCCCTAATTTTGTCGTTGTACTTTTTTTGGAAGCAGGTGGCTTATATTAATAAGAAAGAGCTTAAGCAGGATACAATCAGACAAAGAACCCATAGTTTAACGTCTGCCCTTGAACCAGACTTAGAATCTGTCACCTCGAACAAAGCAACCAGATCGCTGATCCTGAATTGGGCTTACTTGAGCCAATTATTAGTAAACTAAATTCCCCATCACCTATCCTAAGTTCAAGAGTCTTGACAAAATTAAAAACTGTAGCAAGCAAAAAAACACGATGTCCATCACAAAAAACAATAAAAATAAAAGCAAGCCGAAAAGTAGTAGCAACTTTGATTCTCCACATGCACCATAACTTCACTGATTTTGGCGGGCCTGTGATCTCCAGCCCGCCTCCTCCCTGTTTTTTGGTCCTTCAAGAACCATGACATCCCCTCCTGATTGCTCCAGCTCATGTTCCTGTGCTTCCCATGTTCGTCTCCTCTTCTGCTCACCCGAATCACTGTTGTTGACCGTAATCTCCGTGTTCTTTGATTCGTCCCCAACCTCCTGATTTTGGTCTCTCATATGGTACTGCCTTCCCTGATTATCAATGGAGATTGTCTGCAGCCCTGTGTGGTCTCTCCCTTTTCCTTTCTCGCCTACAAGCCATTTATTGCCTAAAGTCGAACGGAATTTCCCTCCCCCCGCCCGCAACCACGAGCCGTAATGTCTCACAATCTCTGTATCACCTTTATCATACAGTGATGGGCAGAATTTTATCAGCGTGTCCAATGACTCCGCAGGCAAAGCAGAAACTAGGAAGTTTCTCATACTTGAGTTCTACCCAATAGGCTTCCCCTTTACTCTTTATCATCCCAAGATATGAATTTCCCCAAATAATTCTCGGGTTTACGGGCACAACCCAGATTTGAAAAACCATAAGGGATATTATGGACCTGAACCCAAAAATCAGCTGTATCTAAAGAGATCATATGAGGCATATCACCCTACTTAATAGCTTTTAACATTAGCAGATTCTGGTCAAACAATCAGGGTCCATTATCCAACACACGATTCATATCAATTTTGTGATAAAAGGTAAAAAGATACCTCTTCTCTCCAATTTGCTGAATCAGAATGCCTTTCCCAGGACGCCAGAGGGATGCCATCAGATTACGAAAAATTTGAAATTTCAGCACTTTGTTTGTGAGGATTGTACCGACCACCGGAAAAGTCTCCGCCCCCTTGCTCGCCGTTTCGGGATCGATTTCCTCGCTTTCCTCGTCATCCAAGAGCAGCTCGTCCTCTGTACTTTCCAACCCCAGCCCCTCATATTGATCAAGTAGCCTCTCCACACTCTTCTCGCCGAAGTCCGTCGAAGTCTCACAAATCGTCGTCGAGGGTTCCCCCTCCTCAACGTTAATCCCCTTCGTCGACTATGACGTGGCTCTGCCGCCGCCCTGTTCTCGCGCTGGCATACCTGCGCGCCATGGTGTTTCGTGAGAATCCATCTCACTGATACCTTTGCCGCACTCCTTCAACGAAAAGCTCTCAAACCCTACGAAGAGGGATAGACCGCTCACAATAGCTCACTACTGTATTTTTCTTCCCGAAATAGATGTTGTTACTGCAATGTATGAAAAATACTGTCATTATTGAAAAATATTGCCATTAATTATAATAAATACTGTCATGTTAAATGCGCTGTATTACAAGTATTTGACAGTCACAACTACAAGACTTAGGGCATCCTCATTGGGAGGATTATTACAAGATTAAATTGGTGACATGGCAGTTTTTTTAGAGAATTATCAATGAGTGACATAGATTATTTAATAGGATTATTTGCTACAATAATCTGGGATCAAAATATGAATCCGAATTATTTTAAGATTATTTAAAAAGTATATGTAATAGAGATAAATGCGGGATAGAGAAAACACAGATTATTTGAAGATGATGATTGAGAGACATAAACGAATTTTGAGATTATTTTATAATTAATTACATAACAATATTTAAATGGTAAGAATCATATAAAAATTGATTATTAGAGATCATGAATGGAGATGCTCTAATATAGTACGTATGCCATATTGCTAAAATTTAGCATTCGTTTTTTTTTAATTTACCATTCGTTAGTTAAAAAAAACTTTTGACTTTTGTCAACGGCAGATTAAGAATGTTTTTACTTGGATTATTTTCAGTCCAAGACCAGATCAGAATTGGATAGTTATAAAATACACAATGACCAAACATTAACAAATCAGACCAGATTAACAAATTTCAATCCAAGTAAAAATATCCTAAGAGGAAAAAATCAATACCCTCTACATTGGAGAACATTAAAAAAGAATATTTTATCAATAAAGACATTGGTCAAATTTAATCAATAAGAAGAGTATAGCATTTCAGGATGATTATACAATGGAGTCGTATATGACCATATAATTACTCCATAAATATGAAAGAGGCGTACTAATTATGGGACCAAAAAGAAGATCTCTATCAAGTAGGGATGGACTGGGCCCAGGCGGCCCGACCTAGGCATGGACCGGTTCCGGTTCGGGCCCGGCCGGGTCTCGGTTCAATAAGGGGAGGCCCGGAAATCAACCCTAACCACCTCAAATGGCCCAAAATACCCAGCCCAACCCAAAAACTTAAAAAAAATTCAAAAAAAAAAATTGGTCCGGCCCGGGCCCGAACCGGCCGAGCCGGTTCACCTTTTGAAGGGCCCGAGCCCAAACCGTCATCCCACCGGGCCGGTTGGCCTGAACCGGGCCCGGAACCGGTTCACCGGGCCGGGCCGAGCCCGCACAGTAGCGGGCCGGTCCGATTCCGGGCCGGTTGGCTCGGCCCGAGTCCATCCCTAGCCCGACCCAGGCCCGACCAGGGACCGGTACTGTTCGGGCCCGGTTTTTTGGTACCTGTACCGGCCCGGTCCCGGACCATGATTGAATAGGGGCGGACTTCATGCTTGGGCCAGGCCCAAGCTCAAACGGCTAGACTTAAAAAAAAAAGAGCATGTGACTACCCAGGCCCGATCTGGAACAGGTGCTATTTAGTACCAACCCAGTCCCGGTACCAGACCAAACCAAGTCGGTACCGGGCTTTAAGTATATAAAACCGAACCAGCCGGGCCCGAGCCCGGTTCCACCCCTACTCCCAAAGCCCCAAGTATTCTCCCAACTCCCAAGTTCTTTTTCATGGAATGCTGATTTTCTTCACATGTGACCCGGAACCCTGCCACTTGAGTCTAACAAGTAACAAGTTTACGCTAGATCCAGATTCATGTTACACACCGCATGTCTACATGCTACTCCCTAAATCCATTATGGGCTTCTAGGTACTTCTCTTGCTACAGAGTAGACTGAGAGAGTAGTGACCATGTTCCAGGTTCCTAAATAACAGAATAAAATTATTACTGATAAAAATGATGTTGTTCAACATAAAAATTGATTTAAATCTCAAATACGGACTTACGGAGTATAATTTTAATATCCAAATTCAAAAATTAAAACAAAACTAGAGCAGAACCAATATTACCAGCCAAAATAAAACAAATTCAAAAATTAAATGGGATCAAATTTAGAAATATCTATACACAAAATTTTTCTGAAGTGGGCTGAACAAAACGAATTGTTCAGGCTACAAGAGAGAAGACAGATTATTTTGTTTCATTTCCTAACCAAGTGTGATGCTGTTAACGGTGATGATGATGATCTACCAATACCATTCTCAAGAAGACCGCTTCCTGTACTCTTCAGTGCACACAACAAACTAAAGAAAAGCCTACATTCCTCTCCTACTGAGACATAGTTTTATTTTGTCAGAAGGTATACCACTGGTCAACAGTCAATCTCCAAAATGAACCAATTAGATTCGCCCTGCACCTTTGTCCATCTAAGCCATGGCGTACTGGTGATGAAACACGTATTTAACAACTTCATAGAATGACACAACTATACCAACAGAAGGTCCTGCCCGGCCAACACGAGGTCCCACACCTGTAAAGAGTCCCTTCATGCCTCCGTCTCTGCAATCAGCCAATGATCGATGAATACACTTAATGTTGGAAGATTTTAGAGTGAAAGACCACCCCCATCACTGTGTATCACTTAACTATTATAGGTATACATATATAGTTCACATTTAGATTAGAAATATTATACCATTCATTTATATTTATGAATACTTTTTACCTAAAAATCTAGTTTAGCATTTATTTGCTAAGGTAGAAAACAGCTTCTTAGAGGAAATATTAATATTAATTATTTAGTGTACAGCATAAATGTGTTATTTTTTTAAAGACGTATTTGTATATAATTAAATAATCCAGGTGATCATCATTCAAGATTTTAAATCTACCACTTATCAATATAATTAGTAATTACGATTTATAAGACGAAGTTAACAGGACTCGTTCAAGAAAAATACCTCCAAACCTCCATTAGAGTTTTTCTCGTTGTCATAGTCAATGCTCTGATTGGGTCCCTCTGAAAGCATCAAAGAAAGCCAAATAATGTATGATTAAATATTAAATACTGCAACAAAACATAGAGGAGAGGTGGGGAAACAATAATGCAGGAGGAGTGTCTACGTCTAATACAACTAAACCTCAATCTGCCTTCGGGTTTTTGCCACATCAAGTGGACAAGTTGCAGCAGCTGCAAGGCTTCCCGCAACAAAACCAGCAGAGAAATTTGCACCAAGAATGCCGACAGCATTAGTTTCATCACCCATCAGACTAAGAAGCCGCCTTCGTGCCTGTAGAAGTAATAAATTACAGCCTTAAACTAAACAGGTTCTAGGGGAACTTCAAATGTAACAGTAAAAGTAGATGAACTCACTGGCTCTAAAGTGGACCAACATATTGCAGAAAAAGGAACATCGCGGGCAAGTTGTGCCCCTAGGCCTGTCCAAAGTACGCGATAGCTTTGTACTGCAATAATCAATTACATTTCAACAAGTGTTGTTTCACAATATAGGTCACTTACTCACTTTTATAAAACCAAGACAGTACTGAATGCTATTCTTTTCACTATACCCCTGGATAAAATTAATCATTCATTAATAATTAAATGCTAGAAAGGTTCTCTCCAATTAGTAATATCTTAGGCAGCGTGATTTCTTCCAAAATGACACTTATGTGAACTGGATGGAACAGTTTACACGAATGAAGATCACATTACAGACACCAAAGGAGTTTATAAATCATATACCATTACACTCTAACAATACGTCGAGTTCTTATAATCAAGAAAATTAGATCAACATACAGCTGTTACTAGCAGTTGCAGTGATCTTAACATTATAGACTGCCTCAAATAAAGTCTTCACAACTCCAGGCGGCTTTTTACCCTTGTGCATTTCCTTGAACGCCTAAAAGTAAAGAAAATAAAGTCAATTGGAAATTAACAGACTAAGTGTAACTGTGTAAGGAATGTGCCCAACAACACTAAGAGCAGCAACTACTTCAAAGACAGACACCATAGAAACATTTATTTATCTCAAATAATGAACAATGGCAAAGAAAATCAACAGCAGTAAGACTACGAACCTGCATACGAGTTTTCGCAAGTTCAATTGGGTAGCAACTTGTACAAGCTAAAGAACGGGCTAATGAACCAGCAAGTAAAGGAGTGTATGGAGTCAAGCTTGGGGCATTTTTGGAGGTGTATTCCTCTAATTTGTTGCGAAAGATATCATAGCAAGGCAAGTAGATCCCTACCTGTTCACAATACAATTATTTGCTAATGACCAGGCTATAATACTAATTATAAAATAGACTCGCAAACATTCATGTTAAACACATACTGTTGGTACTGCCAATGCAAGACCAGCATTCGTTCCTCGCCAAAGCCTAGAAAATCCTTCCTGTGAAAAATATCCAAGTTAGCCATGAATCTACAAATTTACAAACTGAAGCAAATATAAAAAGAATAGTTATTGCATGCCAGTTTAACCAATCACTAAATTTGCAATGCAAGATCTCAATTACTCTTTTTTTTCAAAACTTATAACCACTTCGTAGCAAGAAAGCCAAAGGGGCTCACCTGTCGAATGATTTTGTAGAAGACATCAAGTGTTCCTTTGTACTGGAAACAATCTGGTGGACAAATCGCCACTGTCCCATGAACACCGGCACGGGTGCATGAAGGTGAACACCTTAGATCAGCAAACATCTAACCAAATGTATGTAGAGCAGAAGTGAGGAGAAATCCAACTCGTGGAGATAAAAGTATTCCAAATGAATACTATTGGTGAAACCTTACCATGTTTGGTCCAAAAATTGCCATGCGACTCGTCATGTTGCTTAAAGGGTGTGAATAGAGATCTCCTGCTGCTTGTGCTTGTAATCTTGTCTGTACAATTAATAGAAAACTAAATTCTACAAGGCAGTACAAATTATGACAACTAATAAGTTATCACAATTCCCTTCACAATATCATGACGAATCCAAACAAACAAAAAATAACAATGAACTTGAAAGTTGGAGATACAAACCTTAACCACATCTAGAGGGTTAACAAGCACGGCTGAGAGAAAAGCAGCACCAGCAGCAGAAAGGGATCGCTCAGCGAGGCTCAAGTGATCATCAGAAGATCTGCTTGGATAATCAGTCACAGTCCGTTCTGATTGAGTTTCATAACTTAGCGCAACAGCTTCAGACATCAAGCAAATGTTGTTATCAATGTCCACAATTGTTGTTTGTTTCTCTCCTGTGCTTAACCAAGTCTGTTGATTGTGCTTTGATTCTTCCACCGTCTTGTCTTCCTCAATAGACATCTGCCTATCTATATGATTATAGAATAATAATGCAATTTGAATCATCAGTTATCCAGGCATATCATAGTGCAGAAAAAGTAACATCGATAGAAGTAGAATTATTAGGGGAAGGGCAGGTGAGGGCCTTGCCTTGAAGATATCAATGTTTTTAGCTGCCTGTCAATTTTCTTCAATTATATGCCTTGTTTTTTAGTTCTTTGTGCATTGTAATGCCAAAAACTAACTATCCCTATAACAGTAGCTATTTGGTGATTCCTAATAACAAAATTCATGCTTTTATAAATTTATTCCCATCCAAAGAATGCAGGGATTAAAAGTTAAAACTGCTCATGCTCTCGCTATAATTCCTATAAAATTGAACTAAAGATGCTCAAACTTGTAACACAGCAATCCAGAACCTCTGCATACAATTTTCCATTGCCCTAAACAATAACAAAATCTGGCAAATAAATCCAGATATTTTAATGTACATGATATCATATTAAAAGTTAAAATACATACATTTTAATGTAATTAATGCTTCTAGTATTCAAGTAAAGACTGAAAAACGCATTCTAATTTTTGTTCTTTTCCTTTCCGATGTATAAAAAATGTAAATAAAACCATAAAAACTGCAAAATTAAAACAACATAACAAAGCTAATACTTATCTGAAAAATAAAAGATTTTTTTATGGCGGTGTTCGACAAATATCTTCGAAAGTATTGGGCTAATCTTAGTGTTTCAGAATTGAAACTTCGAACATCTAAAATTAAATTAAGGATAGAAAACATCTAATTTTTATGTTACATAGTTTAATGTCTGGATAATCGGAACAAGACATATATATTTGTAGAATACTCCGTATCTAATAAGGTAGGACTTTGAATTAACGAAGACCAAAAGATTGACCGAAATACCTGGATGGATGTGTATGCAAGAAAGAACGGCAAATTGTCGAATATGACGGAGGCCAGAGCCGGAGGGAAGCTTGACAAATCCTGGGATGTTTTTCTATGTGTTTAGGAATACTTGACATCATTGTAGAATCAGATATTATTGGGCTTTGTTTCCGTTGTACCAAAAAAAAAAGATTATTGGGCTTGAGTCCAAACGTAGAATGTGAAATTAAAAGCCCATTTGGTAATACTGGAATTGAATGAATCGGCTGATTTCGCTGAAATCTAATCTATGAAGTTCTGACTGTAGTGATTGAATTTGTTCCTGCTGAATTATGAAAAATTTATATTTAAAATAGAATTTATTGAGAGTAAAAATATATACTATCGTATTTGAAATAGCTAAAATGACCCTTGATGGAGTATATGGCCCGGGAACCCCGGCCCACAGACTCCTACTACTCCAGGAAAGGCCCAACAGGCCCAAAAGGCCCAACAGGCCCAAATCACAGCGCCCAGAGTACAAAGCAGTCCGCACAACGCACAGGGGTGCCTTCGGCCCCCTGGCCGAAGGCTCCAAATTATCACAGAGCGGGTTTCTCAAGCAAATTAGGAAACTGGGAGAAAACGGCGAAAACAGTAGCCCTCGGCACTGTGAGCCCTCGGCACCAGGGTGCCATCGGGTGGGAGAACCCTCGGTTACTGCTCTATAGCCGAAGGCATCTCACTCGACAAGATATCTGCCTCACATGCGTACAGATCACCATACCCCGCACAGGCGTCCCATCCAACAGCCGCATTAAATGCGGCCACATGCGGCTGCCAGCGCCAACCAGTTGAGGTGACCCCTCGGCCAATGAGCTCTTGACACGTGTCCCTGCCCGGCATTTATTGCTACTATAAATAGCACCCCATTTCCCCATTTGTAACCACGCTTAACATATACCGAATATACACTCTCTCTCTTACTTGTTTGCTCTGACTTCTCTCTAAGTTATTCCCCGTAATAACCCTTCGGATATATACCCCCGGGTAGACTATCCATCATTTGGTGCTCTCGTTGAGAGGTTGAACAATCGAGTAAGAAACCCTCCCCCTCGACCAAACACAAAACACTAGCCCCCTACCAAAATGGTGAGGACAACGCGTGCCAACTCAAAGAACGTAGAAGACAAGAACCTGGCCCTCGGCGACGTCAACGCCCCCGAAGCCTCTCACAGGGCTACCGAGGGCGGTGTCATCGCCGGGCTGGAACAGGCGGCTGTCGACCTACGCCTTCAGATCCAACAAAACGCCCCCGATGCCCGCCTCGGCATCGAGGCCAAGAAGAAAAACCGGAGCGATGACCAAGTCAGCCCTCCGGTTCTCACCATCGACGTACAATCGGCGCTCTCCGCCTTCATCCAAACGCTCACCCAGAACCCGGGTGCCTTCGGCACCCTGGCTCCAGCTCACCCTCAGATCGGGGAAAATATCATACTTCCCCCTCTGCCACACCCCTTCGGAAATCCCACCCCTCGGGTGAGAAACGACGAAGGGGTGGTGGCCCAAGAAACATCCTCCCAGGAAGTTCAGTCCCGGGACCGCCATAATGACAACAGGGAGAGGCCCCGTACTTCCGCCCTCAACCGGCTCGGAGGAGGGCCAGACCGCCGAGGGGTCCAAGACCGCCTCGGGGGGAAAGCACTCCAAAGGCCCCAGGAAAGCGGGGGATCTGTTTCGAGGGCAGACGAGGAGCGTCCCCCTCGGGACAAAGGCAAGGCACCCCTTCATGCTGATGATGCTCGGCACCAAATCAACCAGGCCCACTCGGCCCGGGTTCGTTCGCAGGAGGCGGAGACCCTCCCGAGGGACCCCCGGGACGAGATTATTGCGGCCCTCCAACGCCGGCTTGACGAGATTATTGAGTCCAACAAAGCTCACGCCACCACCTCCACCCCTCACTCAGACCTCAAATACGAGGCCATGATGGCCAAAATGGAGGAATTACAGAAGAAGGTGGCCGAGGGCTCCGGGGAACCCGTCATCCAGCTCCGGACTCGGACGCCATTTACCCCAAGGGTATTGGCGGCCCGGATCCCGGAAAAATTCCGAGGGCAACACATACAGCCCTACAGCGGGAAAACGGACCCCCAGGAACATTACAGCAAGTACCAGAACAGCATGATGATGGTGGGGGCATCAGACGAATATTTGTGTCGCTGGTTCCTCTCCACCTTAGAGGGACCAGCATACGAATGGTTCAACAGGCTGCCCGAGGGCTGCATTGATTCGTGGCAAGAACTCGCCCAACGATTCTTGACACAATTCGCCGGGAGGCGTCGCACAAGGAAGCACTTCTCCCACCTCCTAACAATACGCTAGAAGAAGGATGAGACCCTTCGGGATTTCCTAGAGCGCTGGAGGACAGAGGCCGACAAGGTCGACGGTGCTGATGACGGGACCCTCCTGGCCCTCCTACAAACCGTCCTCCGCACCGGCAACTTTTCAAGGAGCCTCATCATTGACCCCCCCCCCCCCCCCCCCCCCCCCCCCGCGACTACATAAGGGCCTTGCAGCGGGGGGATCGATATGCTGAGGCCGAGGAGGTGGAGAAGTATCACCAGTATCCGGACCAGCAGCCCCCGAGGGCTGACAACAAACATAACCGAGGGCCGGGGGCTCCTCCAAATCGCCCCAAGGCTTCGGGACCCTCCGATGACCGCCCTCGGCAAGGCCAAGCCAAGCCCGAGGGAGGTTATAAGAGCAACCCTAAGACTTGGGCCCAGCCCATTCTCCTGGACCGCCCTCGGACACCATTGACGCACCCCGTCAGCATCATCCTCGATTTTGCCGAGGAGAGGGGCCTCGTTGAGCGCGACTCTCGCGCACCCCCGGAGGTACACGCTATCAACCCTCAGTTCCCCTACTGTCGCTTCCATCAGCACCAGGGGCACAGGACCGATGACTGCCATCAGCTGAAGACGGCCATCGAGAGATTAATACAGGCAGGGCACCTGTCCCAGTTTGTCCAGAGCCCTCGGCCGGAGGGACCTTCTCATCAGGGACCTCCCCGAGGGCACCATACGAAGGTAAATGCCTGGGTGAATCCAAACACCATCCCCCTCGGCAAGAAAAGGGAGATTGGAAACTTAGAAGAAGAGGAGGAGGAATACCCCCACTACCAGGAGAAAAAACGCCACATCCACATGATCACCGGCGGCAACACAGGGGGCGATTCCACCAGCCAGCGAAAGAAGTGGGCTCAATCGCTTTACGTAGGGGAAGTCACTCATATGCCCCCGGTAAAGCGATTGAGGGAGGAACCCATCACCTTCACCAACGCAGATCTCCCTCCTACTTCTTCTCCTCACAGGGATGCCTTGGTGATTCGAACGGAGATCAACGATACCATCATTCACCGAACTTACGTTGACACGGGCAGCTCCGTCAATGTAATGTACCTCAGCACCTTCAGACAGCTGAATCTGGAGAGGGGGTCCCTTCGGCCCATTAAGACCCCTCTTGCCGGCTTCACCGGCGATACTATTGATTCCGAGGGGGTAATAACCCTCCCGGTGATCTTCGGCGACGGGATCCATAGAGCCCAGCTCGAAGTGGAGTTCGTCGTCGTCAACATTGACTGCGCTCACAACATCATCCTCGGCCGGCCAGCCCTCGAGGACCTCGAAGCCATCATCTCCATGAAGCATCTCTGCGTCAAGTTTCCCGCCGAGGGGGGCATTGGCTACTCCCGGGGGAATCAAAAAATTGCCCGCGCCTGCTATCTTCAGGTCACTAAGAAGGTAAGCAAGACGGAATTCCGTGTTGACACCATCACCGGAGCCGTCGACCAAGAGGAAAGAAGGCCGAGGGCTGAACCGGCCGAGGACGTAGAAGACTTTGCGCTCGATCCGGCCCAGCCGGAGAGAGTCGTGAAGATTGGAGCCCAGCTCCCTGAAGATTTGAAGACCGGTATCACCGACGCCCTCCGCGCCTACTCCTCTGTCTTTGCATGGGGGCCGGAGGACATGCCGGGAATCAGCCGAAGGGTCATCACCCACCGCCTCTCGGTGGACCCTTCGGCAAAAGCAGTACAGCAGCGAAGGAGACCCCTCTCCGCCGAGAGGAGGGAATTCGTGAAGAAGGAGGTCGCCATGCTCCTCTCTATCAAGCACATCAAGGAGGTGAAATACCCCTCATGGCTAGCAAATGTAGTCCTCGCCCAGAAGCCCCCTACCTTCCGCATGTGCGTGGACTACACTGATCTCAACAAAGCATGCCCCATGGATCCATTCCCTCTACCAAACATTGATCAATTGGTGGATGAGACCGCGGGGTGTGAAATCATGTCCTTCCTCGATGCCTTCCGAGGGTACCATCAAATATTCATGCCTGAGGAGGACGCCGAAAAAACTGCCTTCATGACTCCCGAGGGCATCTTCTGCTACCTGGTGATGGCCTTCGGCCTAAAGAACTCGGGGGCCACTTACACCAGGATGGTGGCCCGGGTCTTTCAAGCCGTCCTAGGGCGCACCATGGAGGCCTATGTCGACGACATGATCGTCAAGAGCAAGCAATCTTCCAGCCATGCTGACGACCTCCGGGAAATCTTCGCCATCATGCAAAAATTCAACCTTCGGCTAAACCCGAAGAAGTGCACCTTCGGCGTCCAAGGGGGCAAATTCTTAGGCTACATGGTGAGCCGGAGGGGTATTGAGGCCAACCCCGAGAAGATCCAGGCCATCATCATTATGGAGCCCCCACGCAATGTGAAGGAAGTCCAACGGTTGACGGGCCGCCTGGCAGCCCTCAACCGTTTTCTATCTAAATCGGCGGAGAAATCTCTACCCTTCTTCCAGATCATGAGGAAGACGGCTGGCTTTCTATGGACTCCAGAATGCCAGGGGGCTTTCGACGAGCTCAAACGATATCTATCTTCACCTCCTGTGCTCTCCAAACCCAAGGTAGGGGAGACCCTCTACCTCTACCTTGGGGTTAGCCCGGCGGCCATCAGCTCGGTGCTCATCCGGGAGGAAGACGGCATCCAACATGCCATCTTCTACGTTAGCAAGACCCTAAGGGAGGCCGAGCTCAGGTACTCCCCTGTGGAAAAAACGGTGTTAGCCATCGTTTGGAC